TTCTGTTGAAACCTGATAGGCTCGTCTGTTCTGCTCCTGCTCTTCTTGTTCTACACTGAATCTTTCTTTGCTGCATATCTAAAGAAGCTTACAGTGCAAGATTTAATCAGCCTCTTGGGACTGTGGTGTTTCATCCCTGATAAAATATGTCTGTGTAACTGTATTATTAACCATCCACAGTGCTTCACCTAGCTTACCAACTCTATCGGATTGTTTACTGATTGTTTATTCAGAAGGTGTGGGGCTCTAATCAGTATTTAAAAGCTCACATCATCTTTAACGGTGTTGATGATCATGTTTTGGGTGCTCTCTCCCCCCTCCTCCCCCATGGTCCTGCCTGTATTTCTTCTCTTCTGTTTCTGTCTGTGGGTGTGTCTAGCGGTGGCCCCTGGGCCTGGTCTGGGCCCCGCACCAGTGTCCCAGTTTGGAACCATGTCACGGCAGATTTCGCGGCACAACCCCTCCAATTCCTCTGTCTCTATGGTTTCGGCCACGGGCACCTACCGCCGGGCGCCATCGGTCACATCCCAGTTCTCCTTGCAACAGCAACAACAGCAGCAACAACAGCAGCCTCATATTAATGGAGGCACTCCTGGCTACAGTCAGAACTCAAGTAAGGTCCTGCTCTCTCCAGTCCCCACTTGCTTTATAGATTCCAAACTGTCGCAGAAGCACAAACCTCATTCTACCAATTCATGCACAGTCACTAATAAAAGCAAGCTAACTTTCGTAGTCACAAACATAGTTGCAAGTCGCTGCATTTCTGTCAGAATTATTGACTTTTCTCTTATCAGTAATGACGAAGAATGCCTTTTGAATTCTACAGCTGATACAATGTAGATAATGTCTGGTAGTGCACTGTCAAAATCTAGGCGCCACTTACAGGCTGTTCACAGGCCTTTAGGTCTTTTTCAAGATGTAATAACTACTTGCACCTTGAGAGGAGAGACAGACAGGAGATCTTTCAACTTGCTGGGAGTAGTTGTCTCTTAACAATGTGATCGTGCTACATATATGAATTGCATTTACACCTTGTCCAGATGTGGCTAATTACATTCAGTGAGTTCACAGTGTATTTATACTTTGCATTAAAATGCAAGTTCTCTGTACAGATAGGATATGTAGATACAAATTTATTAGTTAACCACCAAAATAACTGAGATTTTAGTGCCTTGTCTCCAGAAGATGATCATTGCCCTAGAGGTACATTTAGGATCCTGTGTGCATGCGTCTCTGTTGGTCCCTAGGTTAGGGTTGAGTAAATCATCTAGGAAACATCTGAAAATGTAAAATAACAATTCAAAGGACTGCAAAGTTGCATAACTCTGACAAGTCTGAAGGGAGTGCAGGAGCTGTGCCTGGGAATGGGGATGAGGTTGATAGACACAGAAGGCACACAGCACCCCCTTGTGGCCATTGTGAGCATTTTTTGTAGTGCGGTGAGTGGGACCATGACTTGTAGAAATCAAAGCGTAACCTGCAGTTTATCCTCTGGCTTCTGTGAGTCTCAGATACCATGTGAAGTCTCATCACAGTCACAGATGTTACTGAACTTTTCAGCCTTTCAACATTTGTGTCTGATCTGGTGAGATGCTGCAGCTACAGGCAGTTGTCTGAAGTCCTCGTCCAATGATTTTAATGATTAGTAATTTTCTGTATAAAAGGTTCAAAGTATGTAACATTAAAAAAGCATTAGCCAGTGGATTAGGGGCTAACCATTTCAGCACTTTATCTGTATCTGTTGTATATCACTCAGCCTCATTCAGTAGAAATGTCCAAGCTCAAAATTTCTGCAGTGTGTTAATGCATTTCTTTCATCAGTCCCTCTTACAGTCCATTTACTTGGGATTGGGTACACTCTTAACTGTCTTCTGTACATTCTTAGTGACTGATGGACATTCTCTTCTTTTTTCTTTGTTGCTCTTTCTCTACCACTGTCTTTTCTTTGCTGGCTTTCAGTGTCTATCGCTCCCCCTCCTCCCCCAATGCCCCAGCTGACTCCACAGATACCTCTAACTGGCTTTGTGGCCAGGATGCAGGAGAGCAGTAAGTGAACAGGCATTTCCAGACCACTCGCACTGTGCTCGTTCATCCTCTTCCGTTTTTCTTTTGAGATCAGTTAATGCCGACCTCTTGCAACAATGGTCTATTGAATAATATCTTTGAGTTCTTTCATAGTTAATGTAAATTTTAAGCAGCTTTATTTATTTGGGGACATTTCTGTTATTGTTTCTGGGGCGCAGCATTGCTGACAGCAGTACATCATCCTAATGTGTGATCCATGCTCTAACAGTGATGCAGCCTGCTTCATGGATATATTTTAAGACCTTACATACACGCTCTTCTGCATGTCATATTATTAATCCTGCATGACACGGCTGTTCCCCTCTCCGTAACTGTTGATCGGTATTGAACTTTTGAACCCACCTAGAATAATCTTTGTTCCACAGTTGCAGATACACCTACTCCACCTCCTCCCCCCCCTCTGGATGACATGGCCATATTTGATGAGTCTCCTCCCCCTCCGCCTCCTCCTCCAGTGGACTATGAGGAGGAGGATGCTGCCGTTGTGCACTACAACGACCCCTATGCTGATGGAGATCCGCAGTGGGCTCCTAAGAACTACATCGAGAAAGGTTTGCTGAGGACGAACAAATTATGGACATCTTGAAGTTTTCCACTGGATATACACTAAACAAACGTCTCCCTTTGTGTTTCCAGTGGTGGCCATCTACGACTACATCAAGGACAAAGATGATGAGCTGACATTCATGGAGGGAGCGATCATTTATGTTGTCAAGAAGAATGACGACGGCTGGTTTGAGGGCATGTGCAACGGCGTCACTGGCCTCTTCCCTGGGAACTACGTGGAGTCCGTCATGCACTACGCTGACTGAAGGGACGCTGTGGTAACAGCCTATTTATTCAGTCATATAATGAAACAAGAGACAGACAGAGCGCCTTGACTCCTGGGATGCACAGATGTAACTGTATGCTCCCCTTTTGATATAGCAGAATGTTCTTTCCTCTACTGATCGCAAATATAATGAAAAGTAATATCTATTTAGTTTACTTTGGTGTTATACGGGCAGGTGAGGGGACATTTATGGAAAAAAGTTTCTAAATAATTGGCCTGCACATTCTCATATGGGTTGAACTCGGAAGACTAGATTCACCTTTGCAGTATAGAACTGAATCATTTGTGAACAAGTATTTAGTTTGCTGGAACAAATGAAATGTTACTGTCACATCTGCACCTTCGGTCGAGGTGTTTGTACTCTCAGTTTGTATATTACATGAGCTGCAGCCACCTGGGTTTCTGTAAGATTGTAAGAGTCATCAGTGGTGCTCTCCTCGACTCCATAAGGCCCATTCCTAAAGGAAATACCTGCAGGTGTCTTGTCAAATTACAGGTTTAAATATTGTAAATGGGTTTTTCAAAAACAATTACTCCTGAAAATCAGTCTTGGCTTAACAGCATGCAAACTTTTAAGAGCTGTAATATAGTCTTAAGTTCTATTATGTTGAAATGTATTCACCTTTTTAATTTTTACTCCACTGTTGAAAATACTTTAGATTCTGAAGGAACTTTCAAGCTTTCCCAGGGTCTCGCCTTTTAAATGCTGATTTGCATTTGAAGGTAAAAATCATAAAAATAGTTTACCATTACATGTATTTACACCTCGTTGAAGCAAGAGAGAACAAATTCCATTTTTTGACTTAAGAAGCATTTTAAGATCGTCACATCACTGTAATGAATTTTATACTAAGCAAGACAAAATGCTCGTTTGCTAACAGGTAATAATGGACTGTGGTTCTGACAGCCGACAGGTGGTCTGCAGTGATGTTTAGACTGGAACGGTCATGCCTGACACTGCCATGTGACAATTCAGATGTTATGTTGTAGACCAGTAAACGGCTCTGATACCTCCTCCGTCTTCTCAGAGCAGCAATGAGCTGCTTTAGGTTCAAGACCCGGTGGTCACCAGTTACTGTTTCAGGATCCTGTAGCTTCAGTGGCAACAAAAGGTAAGTGAACCATTTGGAACCTTCTGCATTATTTGGTGATAAAATGTGATCTGATCTTCAACTAAGTCAAAAGTGTAGACAAACACCATGTGCTTAAGCTAATAACCACACAAACAGTTTTTCATGTGTTTAAATGTTGGGTTCAGTAAAGTGTTGGTGGAGAAAGTAAGTGAACCAGTTGAAGCTCCTTTGGCAGCATTAACCTCAAACCAGTGCCTCATGGGGCTGTGGATCAGACATGCACAGGAGTTTTGGACCATTGCTCCTCACAGAGCTGCTTCAGCTCCCACGACGTCTGGTGTGAAGTCATTCCACAGAATCTCCGTTGGGTCGAGCCCTGGGCTCTTACTGGCACACTCCAAATGCCAGATTTTCTTGTTTTGAAGCCATTCTGTAATGGGTTTACTTTAATGTTTAGGGTCACTGTGCTGCTGCATTCCTCCCGAGCCTCACCTTGTGGACAGCCACCCTGACGATATCCCGTAGGATAAACTTATGAATTCGTTTTCCCCTCCACAATGGCAGCAAAGCAGCCCTACATCATGATGCTCCTTTCACCATACTTTATTGCTGGTGTACAAGGAGGTTTTTTTGTTTTTGTTTTTTCCAAAGACCACCTTGACATTCCGATGAAACTAAGGTTGAATTGTTTGGGGAAAAAGACATGAAAAATTGTAACCGTTTGTGTGGTTATTAGCTTAAGCACAAGGTGTTTGTCTACATTTGTGACTAAATTATGTAGAAAATCTGGTCCTTCCAAATGGTTAACTTACTTGCCACAGTCATGCCTTGATATTATTTCCACTAAAAATGTGTCCAGCTCATGGGTAGAGATCTCTGCCCGTCTGCCCTCTTTGTACATATGAGTGAAAAATTAGTCTTTTATAATAAACGATTCTATGTACAACATGCATGTGTGGTTGCTGGAGTTAATCACAAAGCAGCAAAGGTGTATTAAATATAAAAAGAAACCTTTGTTTATTGAGTGCACAGTACTTGTTGTCAAGGCCTTGATTGTTACAGGACACTTTACAGTATAGATGTAATCTCGACATTTCACAGGACAATTGTTTGGCCTTTGAGGTGTAGACAAAGACTTTAAAGGACAAGGTTGTCAATTTTCTCCCTGTACAGCGACGAAAACCAACGGACTGCATCTACTCGCAGTTAATGTTTGTCAGTCTCCAGCCTGGATTCACCTTTTTGTCTGTGCCACAGACCTCTGTTGTTGTTGTTCGATTAAAAACAAAAATGAAACTGCTGCACTGGGTGGCGTTTCCTCAGTAAGACACACTAGACCCTGCTGCCGTTTTAAAATGTTGCTCCAAAAGCCCTGAACTGTTTACAGCATCTGAATCAAGGCTCAAGCACACGATCTCTGAAAATTCTTAACAAATATCAGGGTCCGGTGTTTAGAAATAAGGAAATATGCCAACCAGCGCACTGGTGAGTTTCTCTGATGTTTGTGCTTTTGAATGACAGTGGAGGTCTGTGACACAAAGATACCAACTGTGAGTTGAGGCAGTTCACTGTTGGTTTTAGCCTCTGCATGGGGACTGTTGAAAATACTGTCACTATAGAAAATACTTGACCTTATCCTCTAACACAGATCTAGACACACACTTGTATCTCATGTAATATACACTGCTGCACAGCTCAGGAGTAGCATGTACCAAACTGCAGTCACTCAGTCTGAGGCAAAGGAGGGTACAAGTGGGTTACATGTGTCAGTGCAATCTGTTAATTTATGATTTCCAAAATGATCACTGGGATTCCATATAGGAAATTTAAATCACAAGGATTTGCAATAAAATAAGAAGTATCTTATTGAGTGGCTCAGTCATGTATGTGCTAGGAGTGGTTGAGAGAGCCATGAAACATCAGAGAAACCCCTCCATGCTATTTTAATCCCTTGATTCTGGCTTATCAGCTTGTTACCTTATTAACTGGCACAAAAACAGCACCTGGGGACTTTTTGAACTGAGCTCTCATTGCTACATTCACTGTCGTCATCTTGACCCCGAGCTGTGCAGACACACAGGTGTGAGGTGAGGTAGCTGCCTGAAGTGAAGTCCGGCAGAGGAGGTTCACCTGTCTCTGGTGAGCACCATCTCTGTGAGCCTGATGAGGGCGTCTCGCTCTGGGGACGGCCTGAGCATACTTATTTGTCTGATGGCTTCCTGACAGTAGTGTTGGGCCAGGTAGTTGGTCTGCTGCACGCCATCGCTCTGAGACAAGACAGACAAGCGATCAGAACAGGTTCCATGCTGATTGAGTTTGTCCTGTTGTCAGTTGTGCATTCCCACTGGTAAAATACCAGATTGTTCATCTCAGCTGGACTACATTAAAGGATTAGAGCCACTTTAGAAAATAAGAGTCCCGACTTTAATCTCACAGTTCTGACTAATGTTGTTTTAAATGTAATAAGGAGCAGCCGAGTGGCAAAAAAGTATTCACATCAACCTCCCACTTCTAATTCAGTGTCAGAGAAATCTGGAATTTGACCACTACTCTCTCTCCCCCTTGGCAGAAAAGGCTGTCATCATTACAGGTATGAAAATGGCTTCAAAACAACCATCAGTTACACCTAATTTCACTAGTAAATGAACAAGAATTACGTTTATGCAACTTGCAAACATAATTAACTACTGGCATTTTGTGGTCACAAAATAAAACGTACAACCCCATGTATCAGTGTTCTCTTGTATCAGTGCTCCCTTAAAAGCCACAGCATGCAAACTAGAAGTCCTGTATATTATGTGCCTGCACAGCTTAAAGTCCTACAGTTCCACAGTCAATTTAAAACTACAATACATTTAAACTCTGGTCAAACAGTATTTAATTACTAATTTTTAATATTCATTAGTGCTGATTTACCATAAACATCACAGAGAAGCATGAAAATAGATTTGTCTCAATACCAGACGTCGGAGTACTGAGGACTGGATCAAATGTAACTGACTGTTTAGGACTTTAACTCTTGCATTTAATCAAAATATTTTCTAGAACCTGCAAACTTTTATTAACCATATATTTTATTGGTCCTACCTGGAGGACGTACTGCCAGGCTTGATCTACGTCGCCATTACAGCTGAAACGCCTCATGATCATTGCATGGAGCTCAGGAAACTGAAGAAAAAAAATAAAGGGTTAGGCATTCTCCATTATGGTTAAATCATAGGTCTACGTGCTCCAACCTTAAGATGTATAATTTGCAAAAACTGACACACCAGTACACCCAAACCAAAAGCACATCCTTAATCTCTATCCTACCGTGTGACCTGCAGCATCCTGTATCTACTGTATATATGAAATGTGGACGTTGGTCTCACCTGCTGACAAGCGAAGAGGACCGGTCCTGTGGCCAAGCCCAGTTTGAGATCTGCAGCAGCAGGCTTCCCCAACTGACTGGCTACAGATGTGAAGTCCAAGACATCGTCCACCAGCTAGAGCACAGAGAAAAATAATGACATGTTCAATGCTGTGTAAACTGAGTTTAAGTCCAATGTTGTGGATGAAAACCAAATGCACAGGGTTCCCACTTATCAAACAAACTTTATCTGGCTGATACAGATTATCAAAATATCATATATATCTATATCAGATTTAACTGGCAGGGATTCAGAAAGACAAACATTCAAACTGTGACCAGATCTGCCAGAATGATCAGATCTTACCTGGAAAGCAATGCCCACATTCTTCCCATATTGGTAGGCTATTTCATGAACCTCAGGATCCGAATTCACCAGAATGGACACCTTAAATAAAAGAACAGGCAGTCAACAAAAAACAGTAAGTGCAGAAACTGAGTCTTTTCACCATCGCTGAGATATTTGAGGGGAACCAGAACGTACATACTGCTTTACAGCTGTTTGCAATCAGACTTGCTGTCTTCTTGAAGGTTTTCTCCAGATAGTGTTTAAATCTCTCGTTCTCGTTCTCTTTGGAACCCAGCTGCATGAATTCACCTGGAAGCACAGTTGGAAAACAGTATGTAGGGAATTCCTGGCTCCAGACTCTGGAACGATCTGCCTCTACACATTAGATAGCCCATTGACATTCACATGTATATTATTAGGCTCCTCCCACCAACTGCAGCTTGTAACGTACAATAAACATTATGAAACTGATAACTCACAGAGCAAACTAGGGATGTAATGATATTTGCATGTCATCTCTTTAGTATAATTGCATTCAGGTCACAGAATTTCAATCTGACATAGCGGATGCTTCATCATTGACTTTTACAGCTGTTAAGCAGCAACATTTCAGTTATGTTTCAAGAAATGGGCAAGTGTACAAACAGTTTAGTCATTCAGGGCCAAGGACAATTCATGCCAGGTTTTTGCACATGCTTAGGTCACAGCTGGCTACTTCTACTATAAAAAAGAAGGAAAGCAGGAGCACTTTGGGTTAAGGAAAACCATGGAAAAACTTTTTTTATTTTTAGTAAAAGGGCATTTTTTCATCTTGTTTCTTAATTTTTATATTGTGATAAATATCAGGTTGCGGACTTTTTATCGTGGCAATATCGTACCATGGGTTTTTGGTATCGTTACATCCCCTGAGCAAACTGCATGAATAGTTTGAGTGCTGTAACATACCTCGCACCAGGTCCTCCAGCACCTGGCACAACACTTTCACCACCATGTTGTTACCGATACGAGCCAAAGCCATGGAGGCGGCGGACAGGATGAAATCTCCTGCCAAGATAGCCTGCAAGAAAATACAAAAAATATATACATACCATCAAACAATGATAAGTAAAGTGACATGTCAAACATGAGTTGAGGTTTCTGAGCTGGTTTTATTTTTACCTTTTTTTCACCCCACACTTCATTGATGGTTCTCTTTCCCCTTCGTCTGTCTGATCCATCTATGACATCATCATGCACCAGGCTGGCAGTGTGGATCATTTCTGAGATCATGGCTATGGCCCTCTGCCCTGGGAGCAGATCTCTGCATAGAAGGCAGACAACAGATAGCAGCAAGTGAGGGGAAATACGATCCTGGATTATGCTTCATAGCATAACTGAGCAAGATTTATAGGGTGCATCTTCTGTGTGTCACAGCTCACTTGTTGGCTAGTGGAAAAAAAACAAAAAACTATGCAATGTTACTGTGACCACAGGGACACTAATGTTGTGCTAGTGTATTTTTACCCATCTCTGTTGCTGTGGATGTTTAGAGCCCGGGCCATTAGGACAACTATCATTGGTCGGATTGCCTTGCCCTTGCCATCAAAGTAGTAGTCACAGAGAAACTTCAGCTCTTGTCTGGATACAAACAGTTCCTGTGAAGCAGAGTAAGAAATACAATGTCTTTTATTCATTCATTTTCTACCGCTTAGTCCCTGAACGGGGTCCGGGGGGCCCGGGCAATCCCGGCCGGCAATCGGGCGAAGGCGGGGTACACCCTGGACAGGTCGCCAATCCATCGCAGGACAATGCCTTTTATTTCAGCCATAATCAGCTGGTGTTTGAAATAAACATCAACCAAACACCAGCTGACAATAAAATGCCTTAACTGCTAACTGAGGTCTTTGCAGACAGGTCGAGCTCCAGCAGCAGCCACAGCAACTTGCTGCAACCACAGTGCAAGTGTAGCTATGGCTGCTTGTTAATAGTTGTGTGTTGGGGCTTAAGCACAATGCAGCATATGGAAATTTATATAACATTAAATATAGCTGTAGATATACTCGATATTATATTAGCAGTGATAATCAAGATCATGTGGTGCTCACAATGTGAAAAATTGTAGCACGCCACTGTATTTATAATCTATTTTATTGCAAATGGCAATGTGAGAGCATCTGGCTCAATGTACAGCAAGTTAAAATTAACAGTTATGTGTTCATATGTCAAACCTATGTAAAATATAATGACCTACTAAATGCACAATGTTTAGGCTGCTTTCATGTAGCTGGTTCAATGCTGACCTGTCACACAACACAACATAAAGTCTCTAATTTGCATATGCCACACTGGAGCTCAGCTCTATTGCATTTCTGAAGATGACAACACTGGAACAATTGTTCCTGCAGCTTCAGGATTTGACACTATATTAGCTTCCCTTCAATAAAGGTTTATGATGGCCAGTATAGAAAAGAGAGGCCAAAAACAAATCTTTTCTATAGGAGGGAGACGAATGAACATGCTGTAAGGAGGCTAAAAGAGGATTTTATGGGGCAAAACTGGGAATCAGTTTACAGAGAGGAAGACTTAGATAAAGCATATGAGCAATACATGATTCTGCACATAAAAGAACATTGAAAAGCTATATAAACATTTTTTTTTCCATTTATACCAAGTTTTCTTTAATGTAGTACAACCAAAATGACATGTTTTTTAATTTCCTCTCCTGACACTCATTTTACCATAAAACTAATCTATACTTTGATGGTGCCATTTCAAAGATTTTATGGAAAATGTACCTTTTTGATGTCATCATATAAACTCTTTAGGTCTCTCTGGGCTAAGGTGAAGGGATCCTTGTGTTTTGCATCACTGTGTATCGTTCTGCACCAGCAGGACTGAAGTGTGGGACCCAGTATCTGTGCCTTGTTTCTGAAGAGGGAGAAAGAATAAACGTGAAACATACAGTTGTTCAGAAGTTACATTTAAAAATGCACTCTTTGTAAACAGCCTAACATTAGAAGTTGTACATTAAGAAATTTACTGAACTGGGTGATTATGAGGCTGCGTATCTGAAAAATACTTTTTTTTTTTTTTTATCACTATGGTTTGGCTGACAACTGAGCCAGACACCGTGCCTTGACACCTTTTTAATATAGATGTTCTGGCATCGTGTAGCATTAAAGCATTAATACAATTATTGCATGTTACTAAATACTGACTAAGTGTACATTAAGCCAGTGATTCCCAACCACTGTGCTGTGTGCCTTGAGAAATCATCAGGTGTGCCGTACTCTAAGCGAGCGGCGTGTAGCGACAGGCAGAACAATTACATGCTCTTCCACTAGCAGGCAGCATGACTGCTATAAAGACGGAAAAAGAGAGCTTTTGAGGAAGAATATCAGCTTTGTGTTCAACTAAACAGGCCCAGGTTTCACACTGAGTAAGTAAATTGAGACTAGATTTTCATTATATTTCAGTAAATATACTTTTTGTGACACTTTTGTTTGGTGGTGTGCCTTGTGATTTTTCTAATGTAAAATATGTGCCGTGGCTCAAAAAGGTTGGGAAACACTGCATTAAGGAATGTAACAATATACTAAAATTGTGGTCAAAGGTTTGGTCACAATACAAAGCCTCTGATTCAGACAGGTCACATCACAACTCGCCTGGTGATGGATGAGGTGAAGCTGGACATCCTCTGGTTTCTCTGTGCTGGTGATGCTGGAGGCTGCCTCTGGAAGGACCCGATAGGTAAAGAATGAGTAGATTATAGGATATTCTACTGTAACTTTGTCCATTTAGAAAACAAACATGCATTATTCAAGTGACCTGGGTTAATTTACTTATTCATGTATGCCTTTATTGTTTTTAGTAAAGCTGGGGGGGAGTTTCTATTCTACAACTCATAATGGGTTACCTGTTTTTGAACACGCTCACCGATACTGGGCTATAATGACTCAGTGGTTAGGGGGACATTGTTGGCCATCAAAGCACAAAAACACCACAGATGGGGATAAATATCTCTGACTCAACACCAGTCGGGCAGAACTTATGAAGCCTCTTGGATGAGAGGTGAAACGTCTTCGACCTAGAAATCTAGTCCAGTTGATTTTTCTAAGTTTTTTCATGACCTGGATGATTGAGAATCTGCACGGACTTAATGAATTTATGTAGGTGCAAAAATAATCGAAATGAATGGGAACTTGGCCACAAACTGGTTATGGTTATTTAGACAGATTCTTAAGCAAACCATAGGTCTTAGTGCAGCTTCCCTCTAATGTCTTGACCTGTATGTTTGCTCAGATCAAACTCTGAACTAGCAAACATCCTCTGCAACAAGTCACCAGTTACTTGAATTCTTACAAAATGCAGGAAACTCGTGCAATAGACTAGTTGTCAGGAAATGTCACAAAAACTTAAGCAACATTTTAACCGAATAAGACCATCTTTAAGTGGAACCGGATGATAGCAAGTATGACCTTCCGGAGTTTGACAGCACCCTCTCCGGTGTCTTGCCTGCCAGAAAACTCACCTCGTTCCCCGGCCTTGAGCTCCAAGACACCTGTCCCAGCAAAAACGCGGAGGAGGACACAGATCTGCCGTTAAAATGCCACACTGTTTCATATGAACTCATGTTCATACAGACTGTACTCCACCTCCTACAATGCCTCCACCAGGGAGCCGCCATGTCTTCGAGCAGCACGCGCCTGGCATGCCGGAACCGGAAGCCAGTAATGTGACGTAGGTGGAGGACCTTTCATAACAAGGGTTTCAGGAAGCTCAAAGAAACATGATTACGTTCGAACAAAAGTACGTGTCATGCAGTAGTATTTGGATCTAAACGAACAGTACGACATTTTTCTCTCCCAAAAATGTATCAGCATCAGTGTTTGCTACGCCGCCAGTAGCTAGCTGGGTGGCTAACAGCTAACTTAGTATTTGTAAACAGTAATTAGCCATATGGGATATTTCCACGAAAATTACGTTCACCTACCTTTTTATTAGTCACCAATCGATCCTCTCTGCAGAAGCATTCTCAATCGATGAGCTCGGTACTGTGAAAAACTGCATATTCTCCAGATCCCTTCCAACTCCACTTAAAAGGCCCGTCTAAGGTGATGCTGCAGTGTCGTCAGCAGCATCACAAATGCCACTATAAATTCGACAACAATTTTTTTTTACAGTAGTTTCAACATGATGTTATCGAGGGAAGTTTAGATTTACATGTAGCTCTAACACAATCTGATGATTTCCTGCATGGCGGCCATCAGGTAAAGATGGATTATAGACAATAAATGAAACACAAACTAAACATAAACGCTACTAAGTTTGCTTCAATGCAAAAACTTTTTTTTTCAGTGCAAATATAAAAACATCTCCTTTGGTGTAAAGCAGACACATGCTGTATTTTGAATTACACCATAGTTAATATTTACAAGACACAGTGTTCATCTCTGTCTAGTAAATCAGTTTAAACTCAGTCTTTATCGAATGTGCACATATTGTATCATTTCTGTGTCTCCACAGATGAGGACACACGCATGTTTTAATGCTTTTCATGTGTGTATTAGATGTGGGCTCTTGATAACTTGTCATTGCACAAACACTTCTCTGATTGGCCCCGTATGTACCTCAACCGGCCCAGTGTGTGAGCAAAAAGATGTAATGTTGACTGTACCGCTGGTTTGGTAGCCAGGGGTTTTCTGAAATGTTCATTTTCTTCTTGTTCAGATAAGAAAATAACACCGATTTGGATCGTCAAAACAGGATGAAAAGTAAGTCTGTACAGTACTTATTAATGTTGATTCAACTGTGAAAGGTGTAAATATTTGATATTAAGATTGTGAAATAAATAAAAAGGAATTTACTTTTACAAATGTATGTAACATGGAGACTTGAGAGAAACACTGATTGCATCTCACACATGTAAATATGTGCTGATGGCCGAGTCTGCCATAAGGAAAGCCGAAATGAATGGGTTTTCTGAGGTATGTACATTATCTGGTAAATAACTGCTATAAAACATATAAATGCCAGTTTCCAAAACCAGAGTAATGTTGCTTTACTTATCTGTGACAAGCTGTGACATGTTTCTGCCACTAGGTGAGGCTGCTCTACCATATCCTCTCTTCCCCCTTTGTTACACAAGAAACTGCAGAGGAGGGGCTATGCAGCAAGACCGCCACTGTGGGCTAAGAGGTTCAAACTCAGCTGTTCTTCAACAGTTACTCATGAGTTAAGCATCTTTTAATTTTAGATTGCTGCTGGAATAAACACAAAGATTCTGATTTGGAAGATGTCTTGTCATTTTTTTTCAATATACACAACATTTCACCCTATTTACATACAGTTCAGTAGGCACACACCAGAGCCGGTCCAGTGATTGTTCATTATTCTGTATTTCTTTGTGTCTCTGGGGAATTAAATTGAACTTTAATCCAGAGTTGCTGCTTTAGATTTATGTACAGTATGCCATATACCATATGTTTTAAACATCTACTGGCAGCAGGTTTTGTCTGATTATAGGAAGAAGACTACTAATTCAATCAAATTATGTTATGTTATTCATACATTTTTTTATGCCACCAAGACTTTTTACCTATGTACTTGGGAGCTATTATTTAGGTGACAGTACTAACTGGGTATGTATTTAACAGTATTTACAGCCCTCCATGCAAACATTTGACAATATATACAATTCTATAAAAGTCTTGAGAGCATTACTTTTTTGTAAATAAAAGTCACCATTGTCTCTGAATCCAAGTTTAACTTATAGGTTCAACTCTTTGGTCTAAAGAATACATTTGGTTGTGTCTTAGACAAGTACATAAAACAATGAATCTTGGATTGATGAATGCCTATATTATTGAAGAGATTAAGTCTGTGTTAACCTCCACCGGCTTCAACTACGATGTAAAGAGTAGCTGTTTGGGCAAAATTAAAAAAGGTTGTTTAAATTCGGCTCCCAGGTTATTGATTGCCACGCTTCTTCTGCATGGCTAGCATCAGTTCTGACATGAAGTCTCCATCTCCTCCTTGCAATGAGGGTGTAGTCCTCGCTGGTGGAGCAGGAGGCATCTTCCTAACTGATCCAGTGGGCCGCACCGCTGCTCTTGGGGCAGGAGCAGCAGCAGCAGGTGGAGGAGGTGGTGGAGGCGGAGGAGGTGCTCCAGCCCCAGTGAATACTGGCTGAGGTGGAGGAGGTGGCAAAAACCCTGGATCTGGTGGTGGAGGAGGCAAAGACTGGTCCATAGCCTCAAAACTAGCTGGAGGAGGTGGTGGTGGTAGAGAGTTCGCATGCAGTGGAGGAGGGGGTGGCAGTGTACCAAAACCAGAGGCTGGAGGAGGGGGTGGAAGGAAGTCTGGTGGGGTCTCTGAAAGGTCGTCAGTTGGTGGGGTTGGTGGTGGAGGAGGGAGGTTGTCCACCGCTTGTGGATGGTGGGGGAAGTTGGTTGGCTGGTGTCGCTTTGCGCAACTCTTGGCAGCCAGAGGAGGCGGTGGAGGAGGGAGGAATGGGTCTGGAGGTGGTGGGGGAAGAACCTCAAATGGTGGTGGGGGTAGAACATTTCCAAAGTCCTGAGGAGATAACATAATGATACAGGGGGTCTACACTTCTACACTGAATTGATGCTGTGAGTGGCATCATGGGAAATATAGGATTCAGCAGTTTTTAGCTTGACTCATACCAAGGACTACAAGTCAGGACATCTCTGCTTAGTTGATTCTGCTTTTTGTGAGTCGTCCAACTTTAATAATACATAACAAATCGGTGGAGCACCCTTTTCAATAATTAATCAAAAATGCCAAACACTGGTTCTAGTTTTTCAAACATGAGAATTAGCAGTAACACTTTAATTTGTTTCTGTAATTTCTAAGGCAGTTTCCTGGAAAGCATAATGTAATTGGGTAGTAACTGTATACAAAAGAGAAAGTTCTCAAACAGTCATTTGAGTTCAGTTTATTGTTTACTTCAGGGCTGCAACTGATCATTTTTGCCATTGATTAATCCAATTATTTTCTGAACTAATAACTTTCTGAACACTTGCATGTATTGGGTGAATCGGAATAATTAGTTTTAGGTGCACCAGTTAAACTGTTTCTCAATTTTCTATGACGTTATTACCAAACCACAGAATCATTTCCAGGAACTTCTTTTATGAATTTACTGTTACAAGCGAGTCCCTGTCTAGAGAATTATAATTGTGGGATTTGTTGATACAATAAATGCAAAAGCATCACTCTGGAATTTGGGACATTTTTCACTATTTTAACACGTTATAGCATGAACAAATAATCAGTAGATGAACAGATTTTTTTTTTTACCTGTCCTGATTGTGGCTTGGGAACGTGCCCGTTTGCCTGGCTCTGTGATTTAGCTAGAAGAGAAGAAACACCATGAGTGAACAAAGGAAATATTAGTACAAATGTAACCACATTTGGCTCGTTTCAAATCAATGAAACATTCAATTGTGTGTCGTGCTACCTTTGATGGTGGGTGAGGGCGTTGATGAGCTGGAGCTTGATGGAGTGCTGCGGTTTGTCCACACCGCGCTGACAGCTGCCTTCTTCTCAGATGTTTTATAGTTTGAATACAACAAGGCACCGTACTGGAAGTGACCGAACACCACAGAGCATGACTCTATAACTTCTGGTTTTGTGGGCATTATACTGTACATTGCTATTAAAAGCAGAGTTGTTCACATTTACCTTTGCAATCCGTATTCCAGTGACCCAAAGATTCATGCTCCATGCGTCATCACAGCACAGGTACTTGATGTACTGAGAATCTTTCTGGATCTGAGGATGCTGTAAAGACAAATCCACACAATAAACATGATAGAACAAATGTTATCTGTTTATATACAGTGTTACATAACTGTTTTCATTATGTTTTAAACTGCAGATAAGTGAGATTCCTGTAAAACAACTAATCAAATAGTTACAGAAAATTCACCGTCAGCTATTTTGATATTGTGTTATTTATCATAATCCTAATAAAATTCTAATAAACCCCTCATTCTGACCTCCCAGTTGTGAGAATCTGCTGTTTGGCAGTCATATGTGATAGTAGACTGAGTATTTTGGGGTTGTATGTTTCTGTTTTATTAGACAAGTAACCTGAAGATGCTGAGCTGTAGGAAACCGTGACAGTTGAGCCAGTTTTCTCTGTTTTCTGACATTTTGTGCACCTAACAATTAATTGAGAATATATTCCACATATAAATTGTAAATCAAAATAATATTTTAATAGTTGCAGCTATAACAGGGTTATGTAGGATCCTTTCAACACCTCTTCATTGGTGCTGACTTCTGGAAATATAGCTGAGAAAAAAAAAATAGTAGTAGTCCTGAAAATGTATTTTACATTTACATAGGGGCATTTTCCATATTTCCAATAGCACTGAATCATAAAAACAACTTTCAAGCCAACATACTGTTCCCTGTCATTACTCTTCTCTGAAACAACATTATATTGTCTTTCACTAGAGTTCATAGTAAATGAACAATAAGCTGTTTTTTGGGCAACACCAGACCAAAACACACAATAGTCTACATATGCCGCCATGACCCCCCTCTTTGCCAGGTGTTTTTCATTAGAGTGTTTGTTCAAAGTAAGACATTTCCTGACTTGCTGACCTTAGGTGTATCACAGAGCACCACAAGGGGGCAGAGTGACTCTAAAGTCAACAGCAGTTACATTAATTTTATATTTTCAATTCCTTTTATTTAAATTATCCAGTCAGCATGTGTGAACACAAACAAGGAAGAAAACAGAAAACTATAACACAACCATTTGGTCTTTTGGTACATTCTCTTGTTTACATGAGATCCAAACAGTTGTTGGTTTTATCCTAGAATCCTACCCCAGTCTCATTGATTACAATAATCGAATGTTTTGCCCTGAAGAGGAGATAAATTCCCTCCTAATCCCATGACACCAGTTGGATCTAATGAGAATGGCATTAGATATCACTTCAGGCAGCTCCTCAGGATATAGAACAACACAACAGTGACATTAAATTGTTTTGGTCTTGTCCTTGTTGGCAGCCCATAAACATTACTGCACCGATCTGTCAAGGTACACACTAATCGAACACTTCAGCGTAGCAACTGAAGCAGCTTTTACTGTGTGGTGCTTCAGCCACAAGGACAGGAGACGGTGAAACCGGGCTATCTGTCCAGAATGTCCACTCTAACAGGTCCCTTTCCTTTGCCCTTGAGCAAACATCACCTTCAACTCAAACCTTGAGGCCCATTGTCGGCCTCTCTAAGCTCTTTTCATTTTTATCCACACCATCTGGCCTAATGATATCTGCTGATTCCTGTGTTTCCCCGACAGGATGGAGAAATGAAAGAAAAGGAACTTTCACATCCCTTTAGGAATTCACCACCAAACCATCTAAATCTTGCTTTCTTCATGCCAGTCAGCATTTGTTTTCATAGCCACTGGAAGCCTAAATCATAATTTAAAATAAAATTCGATTAACCACCCAGCCCTACCTTCTCACCACATGTAGAAGAATAACTCGGTCTACTTTCACTTCTTCATACTAAACTATTTATTACATGTCACACATCCTTGCAACAATCAAATATGCACATCTTTCATCTGGGTGTTAAGATACGCCGACTAGGATGGACAACAAAACAGTGAGTGTTACTTTCAGTCTTTTCTACAGCATCATGGTCAGGGGAAGCTGCAGCGTCTCTGTTTATCACAGTGAAAGGGTGCATGGGTTGAGGCAGACTCACCTTCAGAACAAAGCAGAAGTCAGTCGGGGCCTTGTATTTGTTCTTAAAGTCTTTGCCATAGTATACATTTACATTGTCAAATTGGACGAAACAGATAAGGTCACGGGATGACTGGAAGAAAGAAGAGAGGAATTACATTCTTCTCTTTCATCTGCTTGTTGAATTGAAGAACAGTAGTACAGCATAATGCACTGAATTAATGCTATGCCTGGGAGTAGGAGCTGCCAAGAGACCCAAGATATACAGTTAATAGATATACTGTACTGTAGGCATCCAACAGGGAGTAGAGCTCTTGTTATATTCAGGAGTGCAGGAAGCAATATTGGGTTAGACAAAGCAGAAACAAGACACACTAGGACTTTGTAGTCCCACTGAAATATAAACAAAATGTGCCATTACATTTCATTAAGGTTTCAGCTGACATAGAAAAAACATCTCTCCATCTGCTGGATTTTCATCTGTCATCACTGTTATCCAACTGAATGTATCCCAGAGTGAGCATTAGCTATTGGGTGTGTGTTTATTTTCTAGTTTTCCCAAAAAATTATGTTCCCTCTTTTGATCCCTGACCTTGGTCTTCCCTTTGGGCACATAATAAATTCCCGAGGCCCTCAGCTGGAAAAGCCGCTGCTTCCAGGCCTTCTTGCCGTCTTCTTTGAGGTGCAACACCCCTTCAAGATCGGGCACTATGATCGAAGTCCCGCAAAAGTTCTCCTGCAGAGGTGAAGATGGGGAAAAAGAAGTCACAAAGAGGAGCCACCACTGAAAAATCTGTCCCTTTTATAGAAAATGAAAATCACTTATAAACCCATAAGCGTGCACTTGCATTTATTTACCTGTATTAATATCTCCTTGTCTTTGTCTTTAATGTCTTTGAGAGCCTTCTTATCCTTCTTCCACAGATAAAAGTTCTGAAGAATAAAACAAAGTGTTATTAATTACATTAAGATATAATTTGCCAATATGTTAGCACAATTTTGTGAAGTGTTTTAACTCAATTGCAGCCTCAGAAGTTAAAGTTACAATATGTAAATTAAGGTAGCGCTATCATGAAACAATCTGCTACACTCTCCCCAGCTCTTCGGCTATCCGCCCTTATGAAATTACAATAAATGAGAATGCAACAAACATTACTGATGAAGCAAAAACAACAGAAAATCGCTGATTGTAAGAGAGATCAAGCCCCTCAAAACCCATTAGAAGCTAATGTCTCTGCACTGCTATTCAGTGAGTCTGGGTCACAGAAGGCTTCGACAGCACCTCTCCACATTAAGATTTGGAGCAGATTTCTACAACAAAAATATTTGAGCAAAAAGTTACATACTGTAGCTTTAAATATCAGCACAAACACAGGCTATCAGTATCCTTGGGGCAAACAAATATTCATTACCACCCTTCAAAAACACCCAAACCCAATCTACTGTGCCTGGGTGACTGGCTTGATTTCATATCATAGTCTGGGTCTATATGTTGGCATTACAGTTGAGCAAAAGCCCAAAAGGAAATTCTCTCCTGGCAGCTGTTGTCAGAAGTTAAAACTGTACATTAATAGGGACATCCTGAATAAAACAAATCGATATTTTGCTTAGATACGTGGAAGACATGATGGAGTAGTTTAAAAATGAAAATATCTCACCAGTTTCCAACCCGGATATTTGTCTCTACCAACAGACTGAAACCATTAAATAATCTGAGATTGTTAAAGGTTCCTGTTAGGTCAACAAACATGTGAAGATCTCACTGTCTTTTTTCTGAAGCTGTTTGGTCTGATAAATTATAGTGAGGACATAAATGTGAGAGGTCATCCTACATGGAGGAAAACAACAATTCAGCAATGAAAACAGCCAGATGGAGCCGAGCTAAAACAGTGTTGAGATAGATTTCAACAAACCAAGGCCAAGAACAATGAACTGGCCAAGTTCATTGAGTGATAACACACACATACCATCTGATCACACATTATATAGGCTGCCATATTTAGAGAGCTAAAAAAAAAGAGTGTGTTTTGGTTTATGAAGGTACATAGAGCTAAGTTAAAGGCACACTAACAAAACTTTTTTACATTGTCTGATAAATCCTGTGAAAACAGGACAGTACATGGTGTCTCTCAGATATACTGCCCCCCCTCCATGACACTCTGCTGCCTGCTTTAGTTGTTATTCCAGCTTCTCTAGCCTATGATGTCCAAGTACAGTCTGCAAATTAGTGAACTAATTTGAGTAGTCATGTCAAACGTCCATGGAGGAGCTATCAGCAGCTAAACGTCTGAACCAGTGGCTGCCAGAGTGAGGAGGTGGTGGTCTTTTCCAGAGAGAGTGGGACAAAAACCAGGTTAACATCAGTTTGGATTTTTAATGGCGGGCAGTCAGCAGCGGCTTATGGTGGTAGTTTGCTGAATCATACTAAACCCTCTAAGAGCTGAAAAGGAATCAGGTAATCATGCCTTTAAGCATTTTCTTCATATTTTCCATTGGGAACTAACCTGTGGGTTTTTGAAAACCTCATATTTTTCTCCCCGTTCTTGAAAGAGGATTTTGTTCTCACTGTCCCTCGTCCACGCTGAGAGTGGCTCCACAAGGTTCTCATGGTCTTCAAATGTTCGTTCTGCCAGAAGACAACCATATTCAGATGTCAGAAAACTATGTCCATGGTACAAGTGAATGTCCTGCCATCAAATGTTTGTTGTAAAAGCACAGTTACTGCAAGCAAACTGTTCTTCAGTATCAAAGCTAAAATGCCCAAGAAGAATGAGTCTTGTTATAAACAATTTAAGACTCTTAATAAGTTAAAGTGTAAGCTGCATTTGAGTTCAAAGCTCATCCATAAAAATTGTTGAGTAACTGAAAGAACTCTCATAAAATAAAAATACTCAAGTAAAGAACAAGTATCTCTAAATTTTACTGTACTGTAATGAATTTATTTTCTCTTATTACATTTTTAATAATCATTCCCTCCCTGGTAGGCTAGTGGTTAAGGCGCAGCGCTCTCGCCGCTGCGGCCCGGGTTCGAATCAGGGTTGCGTCAGGAAGGGCATCCGGCATAAAACACGTGCCAAATGTCAACATGCGAGTCGTCAGTGTGACGATTCGCTGTAGCGACCCCTAAACGGGAAAAGCCGAAAGTGACTTTCTTTCTTACATTTTTAATAATCACATTCCAACATAAAACATCCCAAAACAAATGCTTTATCATATGTACAGTAGTTCACTCTGAGCTTTGTTCAAAGCCAGTTTCACAGCTGTACAATTCAAATGCAATGAATTTAGGGAGTGTTCAATAAGTTGCAACCATTTCCATTTGCTGGAAGGTCTTTAAATGGCCCTAAACCTCATAAACACATTAAGAGCACCTCCCATTTCCTCACCCTCACCCTCCTCCCCTTTGCCCACCCACACACTGAGTGCCATAGATCTCCATTATGTACTGGACTGTATTTTAGCCATGCTCCCCAATTACAGTTTACCAGCTAAGGCATAAGTAGCCATTAAGTAAATTGCTGCCAGGGTTCCAGTCTATAGTCTGACAATTATAATTATTAAATGGATGGTGTGAGTTTGCTGCTGGAGTGAGTTAGAAGGAGTGAAAATTCATTTGAACTGCATTAACAACATGGTGACATGCATGGTGAGCACATGGGTGACTTTAACAACAGATCTGTTTGAAGCTACAGCTGAGCCCTGTAGGTGTTTATTGGCTCTGACTAGCCTCGGCTGTTTGTTGATAAAGATTAAAGACTGACTGCAGTGTTATAGTAGTAACACATCATGTGGGGTTTACACACAATAAAAAATGAACTAATTTAAGTAGTTTCCACTGTCAAGCTATCATGCTGCTCAGTTAGTCAGAGGTCACCCCCAAGACCCTGCCCACCCCTACCGCCAATAAGTCAGACAGCCTACACAGAAGAACTTTTGAAAGGATGGTATGCTATAAATAGCAATCTGTGTGTCAGACAGCTCATTTAAACATGAGTTATCATTGGATATAAATAAGCAGTGTTGGCCAAAGGGACTACACATTTCCTCATTTGTTTTTTTTTTAGTGGTAGAATAAGTCATGGCACAAATCATGTACTTCAAAACATAACATTACAGCTGATCCCTGTGTGATATACAGCATTACAAACTCATCTTATTCCATTGAAAATCTGCTTCAAGTGTGGGTTTTTGATTTGAGACTCTAGAAGAAGCTGTTAGCATTCCATAGTAACGCTACAAGTCCAGACAGGTTACTGTGTTTTCGACTGTCCTGTTTCCTGTGACAAGGTCCATCCATCCATTATCTATTCGGCTTATGGTTATCACAAATTTATTTTGAGTCCATTACACACACACACTTTTCTGCTCTTCTAAATGCTAACATGCTAACTGTGTATTAATCCGCTGCTGAAAGTAGCCCCCCAACAAATGCACTTTTAACTTCTGTTTCATCAGTGTTTGCTGAAAATTACAGTCACCAACTGCTTTAGAAAATTACTTAGCCTTTTATAAAGAGAGAAGTATAAAATTATAATGATTTACAAGCCCAACAGGAACAAAAGGACTTGGGAATAAGTCTCATAGAAAGTGCATTAGTTTTGTAAAATGGTACACTCTTGGTCTTGATGTTTTAGTTGATTTTTTTGAAAATAAGAAAACAGAATTCCTGGCTTATCCTTTAATTTCATTTGTGGCTGCATATAAAATTACTTGAATACAATTTCAAGCAAAACACTACTGACTGATTTTACTGTTAATAAAGGTTAAGGATTTTATCACCAGAATTTCTTTAACACTGTTTGATGATGGAGTAAAATGACTTTTCTCCATAACAATCTGATTAGAAGACAGAGAACAGATGGAAATGAGTGGCCAGAAAATCTGATGGCAGCAAAGTGGAGCAGCTGAAGTAAATATAGCTCAGACAGCTCAGATGGAGGATTGTGATCATAAGGCTCCTATTTCCACATGACAGGGAGGCTGACTGACAGTGTCCGATACAGCAAATTAAACCCACCTGTCCCACCGTATGTGCGCCTGTGTGCGTAAGAGAGAGGGATAGAGAGTGTAGCAAAGAGAGGAGATGGATGGGTGTGAGCTCAGTGCTTCACTGTGAGCACACTGCAGTGTGGCTGCAGTCGTGCCAATGAAAACACAGTCCATCATCTGGACCGGGATGAAATATTCCACCCTGTAAATTGTGTACGTACAGTATGTGAGCGTGTGTTGACAATTCATATCAAAACACACTGAAGGCTTATGTTGTTAAAGTGGTAATCTACCATTGCTGTGTTTTTGTATTTCCTTTGATTCATTTGCTGGCCAGCGTACACCAATTGTTGTGTGTTCCTGTTCTACATTACCCAGAAAACAGTGAAGCAGTGTTATCAGTAATATGGCAGCTTACTTGTATCTTCTGCCAGTGAAGTGTAGGTAATATTAAGTAAATTTATTCATTTAATATCAAGTGCTAGAAATGCAGTCACTTTATGACTAAAGATTTTTTACTTTCCCACTTAACCTGCCACTAGGTGTTTAAAACAGCAAGTCTCTCATAACACAACTACAGAGTGAAACACTATGACGCTACATTACCCGGTGGCAGCACATTAAAAGAAGTAATCATTGTTGATAGATTGATTATTGTCATAATCCCTCCACAGCTTGTGTGTGTGTGGAGGTAATCAGACATGAGGTAACCACTGGTATCTTCCAAATTACAAATGCAGTCATACCACTGTGCAGAATGCACCACATGGTTCAATAAATTTACAGTAAATTATATTGCAGTAACTCACCAAGTTGGAGCTCAGAGTAGGTCTCGCACAGGCTCCAGTCCACGTTGCAATCACAGTGTGTCTTCTCAAACAGGTTGTCCAGAACTTCCCTGACACTCTGCCTCTCGTCAACCATCAGAGTTTTGGAGCTGCCGTCATTCAATATCACCTTCACCACCAACTGTCAGAAAAATGTGACTATTTTAACTTTACACTGTTTTGCTCTTTTTATATCTTCACTCATAAAATAAGGCAAGAAAAATTTAAATTCCAATGGTTGAGAACTCTTATTTAAAAGAATAGTGTGACATTCCTCCTGAGACTCAGATGGGATGTTCAGTACCATGCTTGTCTATAGGTACTTTCCCATCATTCACACAGTAACACGTTCACGTGAGGAAGCTACCCTGTCACCCCAGTCTAACCTGCTGGCCACTGACCAGCTTCACTGAGGTTAAGCCACAAGGTCACTTTTCTAACCTTTAGGCCACCCCTGCCCCAGCTGCAGTAAGCTTAGCTTTTTAATAATCAGGTTTTTGTGAGAATTAAACAAACAAGTTATAAGAGGATAATTTGCAAGCTTTAGAAGCTACCAGTAAAGTCACCCCCTATTTCCAGTCTTAAACTCACAGCTAAGTGTTAACAACTAAGCTCACTGATTGATAGTGATAAAAATGTTCTTCTCTAACTCTCAGCTAAAAAGTGAATAGTTAGTTATAACCTATTTCTTTAATCGTTTCTTCAAGGTTTTTCTGTGTCTGCAGAACACACTGAGGTTAGGATTAAGGTTTTTCTGTGTCTGCAGAACACACTTAGGTTAAGTTTCCCACATGATTTGGAGAGCAGCTTGAGAAAGACATCAAATTCAGCCTTTAACCACATGCACCCTGTTTATTTGTCAGTCTAATTACAGGCAACACGCAGTAAACAGGCATTTCTGTTTCCTACTGTTAGCATCACTACAGGTGGTTGCGGATCAGCACTGGTCTCTACTCTACTGAACTTCCCTCAATTCAGTTGAACTGGCTGATTAAAATACTATCTCCACTGAATGTGCCTGTATCTTTTGCAGTCTTAGCGCCTTCTTCGCCCGAGGTTGGCGGAGATTAATTTTGCTCTTGAGCAGAGCAGCACTTCTCTCACGGGCCCAGACATCCTTGCATCTGGAAACAAATCCAGCTTTGGGAAGCTGAGGAAGTAAACGGGCATTTCTGTTTCCTACTGTTAGCATCACTACAGGCGGTTGCGGATCAGCACTGGTCTCTACTCTACTGAACTTTCAGAGATATCACAAGAGGATTTGGAGTATTAGACCGCGTTATTCAGTGTCTGTCTTCTCTAGAAAAATATGGCTTTGTCACATAGTTGAATGAAATATCACTGGATATCACATTATTTTTCCCCTTGCAGTACTTCCTCATGCTTGGTAGGCATCTTTAAAATACATATGGTATGTGCCAAAAGCCTGCACTGGAATCAGTTGGTGTTTCTGAAACTTCAAGGCTTCTGACCACAGAAACGTTTGCTGAAACCACTGAGGTCACCTACTCTTCTGTATCAAACAATCCAAAGATAGATGTTCCTGTGAAAGAGTTCAGTGGTCTGTGCTTCCTCAGCAGTTGCACACACATGGTGATTTGAAAAAGAAATTTTTTGCCAGTTCTAAGAATTTATAATTATCATCTTTAAGGGGAAACAGGCCATTAGTACAGCTACACACCCACTTTAAGCAGAAGTATTGGCATTCATATCACCTATGTTAAAGTATGGTATATACTCAGCATGAAACATGTTTGGTCTTGTGTAAAAATTTAGTTCCTGTGTGTAGCTTTGACCACATGTTTGTACTTTTGTGTGCTACTTTGAAGATGAGAAAGCGTACGCATATAACCCAAAGAGGAAACCGAGCTGTCCTGCAGGATGTTGGCTGGATGAAAGCAGCCATCCATTACTGTGACTGATCTTCCAAAAGAAAAGAAAGGAAGAAAGACCCATACTGTGTTTTAACACTGTGAATTACGACGTTGTGGTCATAACTGTACAAAACTGTCATGAAACTATAATGTCTTTAAAGTGCACTGTTGCCAGAGAATGTAAGATCAGAGGAGTACACTGCATGGTTGTCTTACCTTTTTCACCTTGGCTTCCTTGAGCTTCTCAAGAGCAAGCTTGATTTTGTCTGCTTTCATCTGTGACTCGATTTCCTCCTAAACAGGACAAATAATCATACCTAATGTAGCATATGAATTATAGTGGAAAATGGAGATACATATACAAAAGGTGTGATTGCTAAATATGAAGCTACCGACAGTAGAAAGTTGGCTTAGCTCAGCATAGACTGATGAATTAAACCAAGAAGGTATAATATGTTTAGTAGCTGTAGAGGTGCTAGTAGCTAGATTTTTGTGATCCAGTCTTTATGCTAAGCTAGGAAAATACTGGCTATAGCTTGGTATTTACTGTACAGTCATGAGAGTGACTCTCAGCAACAAAGCAAATATACATATTGCCCAAAATGCAAACAATTGCTTAAATAAAAAGGGTTCTAAAGGTAAATAAATGAGAGGTAATATATATTACTCTGGTAAGTCAATTTCTGTGGCTGTAGCATTTTGTTAATGACATCTAATCAGCAATGGATGCCCTTGCCGTTGCCTGCAGTACAAGGTTGTGTTATTACACCAAAGAAAATCCAGCCTACAGGGCAGCTTTAATGAAGTGAAGCACCTCTACTTAGCAATGACACATTCTCTGCTTCAGCACAAGCTGGTGTTTTTACTTCTGAAGAGTCCCCATAATATGAGTAATACAAAGACACACACACAGCCACACTCAGACATCTTGCACCAGCCCTTTGGTATTGATCCTATTAGTCTTTCCTTCCTTATGGCTGTATGTGTTTGATCTGTTCTAGACAGACTGTCTGTTTTCCCTGCAACTGCAACAGATGCCTCTGTCCACAAACGGCTTCACCATGATCTCACTGTCCAAATGTTATAAGAGTCAAACCACTCCTAGTTCCACAAAAACAAAAAGGACCCATCATATATCCTGGGACGTGGTGATGTCTTTCTTATAACGCTGTCTTGTCATGAATGGCTAACTTACTCGTGGTAAACCAAGACATTCCACTAATACACCCAACTGTGTTGTTACTGCCTCTTTCTGCTTCATGAGTTTTTCCATATTATATTTTAAGACCATAACAATGCACACAAATGTTCTTCTTTTCTTTACTGCCTGTTCCCCAGCATTGTGGTATTTTCTTTTAAACTATACCAATCGAAAGGAACATTCTACCAGTCTGACAAACCTTGTTTAAAATTCTCACTTCTTCAATTTCGTTCCAGTTCCCTGTTGCAGAGAGTTTAAAAGGTAACTGCAGAGTTGTTAATGTTATCTTGTCATGCTGACAAACCGTACACAGGCTGACACACCATTGTAGGCTTTGCAGCCTGAGGAGGCGGAGGTGGTAAAGGTGAAGTGGCGGAGGAGGTCGAGGTGCTAACTCTGTTGCTTGTACTGCTCGCTGATGACGGTATGGCAGCATGGGAAGAGACAGAGTGGGTGTTCAGGCCTATAGGTGGTGGAGGCAGATCTGCCGGGGGCGGTGACGGCACCTTCAGACCTTGTATCTCAGCTTGAAGTTTCTCTTCAGTCGCATTGAGGTCAGCCACCAAATCTGCCATGAGTGCATCCAAATCATTGTCCTCCAGTTCATGGAGGGACTCTGGTGTTAGGGGCAAGAAAAAAAGAAAAAAAAAAAAGGTGTGTATCTGAATGCAAAAATATTTTTCCAGGTACAGCAAATACTTGAGGTGTTACTTCTCAGCTTAAATAGTTACATAAGCTTTAGTTCCTATTTGGAAATTACTTTTGAGATTCCCCCAAACATTAAGAACAATCTTTTTTACATGCTCCTTGTTATGTTTTTGTTAAGCAATGCAATAGCAACTAAATTGACATTTTTCTTTCATTCCACTCCTCATTCATGTCCTGCCTCTGGATCCCCCTACTTGTTTTACAACCTGTCTGAGCCAGAGGCAAACCCTGACCTTAGTCTGTCTGAAATCATAACAGTCAGATAAAATGCAGAGCAACTGAATACTGTTTTTCTACTTTTATTCTCTAAATAATCTTGATAATTTTCTAGATGATTGATTCAACATGTGGGATATCCTGGCCTTGTAAAGTGGCATGTTGTTAGTTCAACACCTGGCTCTTTGTAGTACAGTATTCCTGTACAAGTGACAGATAAAATGTTAAGTCACCATTTAGGTCAGCGAAGTCCATGGAGAAGTTGACTTCCTTGCTAATGGTGGGGACAGATTCAGGAGGGACTGTATCCTGTCCAAGACTCTGTGGTGAAGAATGAACAAAGCAAAGTGTTAGTGGGAACAGAATATCACCTCTGGTGAAATTGAAGTGATTTAAAATGACTGGTGGGCATCAAAGGGATCATTAGGGCTTGAAAAAATTATTACAATAATAAAATATTTAGCCCTTAGAATTGTAGCTTTTCTATTATATTAATATTACTAATATTAGATATTCATCTTCTGTCTAAACAGCAAACAGCAGTGAGATACAGTGATGCTTACATAACAGTAAGTAACACAAATAAGTGATAAATAATAAAATATGTAACAAACAAATAATAAAGTCTTAAGACGTGGAGTGAAGTGCTGTTGGAATAAAATTTTAGGTCTTTTTGTTGTCATGGCAACTGCTGAGCTTACCTGAGTGAGGAGATCCATCTCCCCCAGCAGGTCACTGAACATGGCGTCAATGTCGTCCATCTGGTTAAAGAAACAACAGAGATGTCAGACACTGAACACACTCGAAGATCCGACTTTAAATTATTTTCTTGTGTAACACAAACTGTCCACTGTCGGATCACATGTATCACTGAGTGGTATTGATTGGTGCTGCAAGGCAGCAAAGAATGTTCACTGATTGAAAACGGTTGTCAGGACAAATGACAGAACGATTGTGTAATGAAGAGGTAAATCCATCTGCATGGTGAAATGTTAAATACACATGCATTTTACACAGCCTGTGGTAAGCCACAGTACTGCTACAGTATTTTGCTTTTAAATGTCTGCAGTTGCAATATGTGCCCTGAGGCTATGTTGCAAAACAACTCCAACCCAGACTGATGGAAGAAAAGAATGTGTGCATAACTTCCAGGCATTCATTTATTTTGCCAGAACTTGTCATGTCTTGCACATGTTGAACTGGAGTGTGCCATATTATTGTATGCTGGCCTTTTCTCTCAGACTCAGAAGTAAAGTTTACCTTTTTTTGACAGACCACTGCCCATCAGATGCTTCTGTAGCCATTTGAAATGATTATGACATGTTTATAAACACCATCTTCTAACCTTCTTAAGTGAAACTGTCACACACCAGTTCTAGTTTATTCTAACCCATGGATTCTCCAACAACCAGTTCAATAATATCATTAAAGACATATGTTCTGAATTAATGAATGGACTCATAATTACAATGTTTGTTTCTTTCAATCACTATTTATTACAATACAAAAATGTATGTATAAAAATACTTCAGGTATACTGAGTAGCAAGGAAAATTACTTCACTGACAGTTTAAAGTATGCATGCGTACATACTGAGCTTGTCTATAAATCATTGACCCAGTTTCGAGGCTGACTCATATACCCAACTGTGACAGACTGATAGAGTTAAACCTGGACAGTACAGAGAGAAACATCAGCATCATTGAGGTTCATTATTTCAGTTTAAAGTAGCATAATGACCTAATATCCAATTACAGCAGTAGTGTTTTTTTTCCTGAAAGCCAACTCCTGAAGATTTGCTGGAGGTTTCCATCTCTAATTATGCATAATAATCTCTGCTACGTATTATCTGAAGCCTTACTTCTCAAAGCAAACGTGATGAATGGCTAGAGTGTGTAGTCAAAACAGAGTCAGGGAAGGGAACAGAAGCAGAAGCAGGATTTCAGATGTGCTGTCACTGAGTTCATTCTGTCACAGTGGTGCAGAGATAAAGTGTTAACATCAGCAATGGCAGAATGTAATACAGTGTATCAGCTACAGCGTAAGCTCCTCACTCATCTAACTCCTGCAGCATGTTGATGATGGGCATACCCAGGGTGCTCCACTGTGACTGAGCAGCTTAATGTGCAATATTTTGAACAGAAACTAGCTGCTGGAACTGTTGAAGGACAGCACACTGGAGAACATTAAAGTTCTGACTTCTGCTTGTGGTTTTGTGTGATTCCCAATCACACAAAAATGCTAAATGTTAGCTATTAGCATCCTTAAGGTGACCTTGGTAAATGTTACCTGCTAAAATTCATCATGTTAAAATGATTGTTGTGAGCTTGCTAGCATGCTGACATATGCAGTGCTAGACATCTGCTAGTATGATACTGACTTTACTTATATTTCAATATTAATTTGAAAATGGCTACATTCAGTTTAGTATTAAAAAGAGCTAGAGCAATAAAGAGTTTGGTGTAGTTAAGGTTATGGTAACAATCTAACGAATTGGCTATATCTTCTGTGCATCTGAAATGGACATCAGAACAATCTTTAGACATTTATTATAGCCTTCATTTTATTATACTGTTAGCCAATACGATTTTCTTCCCCTCACAGAACTGTTTGCACAGCTCCATTCCTAACTTTTTTCTGCTGCTATGATAGGCTGTTACCACTCATCATAGTTTGAAATATGTTTAGTAAATGTTTAGAGCCAACAAGAAAAAAGAAAACGCATGCAAGAAGTTAATAAAAGACACCTGGGGTAAACCCTTGGTCACACTGTAAAGGAGTGAAGATTGCGACTGATGGTGTTCCAGAGTTCATACAGTGCAGTGACATGATGTTTCACAGTTGAACGGCTCTAACAGATGGTGTGCATGTATGGTTGGAAGCTTATGAGAAACTGTGTTGTTTGGTTAAATTGTAGATAAAAACATCTCTGGTTGTGATATTATCTAAGTATTTTCCATAATGGCTGACTTCCTTTGTCAGGCCATACTCCACATGTGACATGGGTAGGTGTAGGCTTTAACTGCTGCACCATGTGGGCCCACCACTCTATCCCTTCACACAAATGGTTTGCCCATAGAAGGAAGTGGTGAAAGGTAAACTTCCTGCCAGTTGCACTGTTGAAATCATATAGGAAATGGCGTCATGAGAACGCCACCTGCAAACTGCATGCTGTTGTTTCCCTCCCATCATGCCACATTTAATGGTCTGAAAGCCTGTGTTTAAGTTTATGTATGATATTCTGCACAATGGGTAAACAAAACAATGTTAAACAGTTCCAGCCTCAAAAAGACCTCAATTTAAAAAAAAAAAGCTACTACTATCATTCCTTAATTATTTTCATTCCCTGAACCAGTCTTTCATGTTCTTCCTGTGTTTAATTTACTTTGTGTTTATGACAACCACATAACAACAGATCTCAGTGTAACAACCACAGCATGATTCTGGTCTGCATCAGCCCACTGCTCAATCACAGAGAACTTGTAAACACTGTCGGCACCTGATGCCATTTTCAATGTGTATTGTAAAGAAGGAGAAGTTAACAAAACACTGCTACAATACAAACTATAAAAAACTAGCCTCAAAGTCATTCCATGTAAACTGTAACACACTGAACCTTGGAATTTTAAGATTTTTTTTAAAACCATAACCAAACATAACATTTTCTATTTCATAGCATGAATGATATGTTAGAATCATGAACATATAAAAATAATAAAACATATTTTGCAAGCTCAGGGTCTATTAGTTTTTATTTATTTATTTTTACCTGCTATCAGAATTGGTTTCTTCCACCCCGTTACCAAATTGCTTTACCAACTGACCTGGAATGTGGCGGGGCAGGAAAATGCAAAGTAATATGGCCAAAATTCTTGTTAAGACCACAGTTTGCATGCAGCTCAAAAAAAAAAAATAAAATAAAAAAAGTTTTATATAAATCAATTTGGAAAATTTATTCAAAAATTGTTTTCCTTAAGATGAACTTAAGAAAAACCTTGGTGCAGTATTGATGCTCTGAGCTGGGGTCAATTTTCCATTTTACTTAAACATATTTCTATTTAGAGAACAGACAGATAGTTCTCTGCAAGGTAGGAAGGAAGGAAGGAAGGAAGGAAGGAATAGGAAGCAAAGAATAAGTGGATAATTTTATTTCCCTTCAAGAATCACATTTACTGATAAAGTTTATACTTGTAAAATTATGGTTGATATAATATTCACGCTAAAGTCTAGGATACTGCAGTATAATGAAATACTGTCACAGACGTATCCTGCTTCCTCTTTGCACCCATTCCAAGTAATGTTCAAAAACTGCACTGAAAATATGTAATTTGTCAGCATTCATAAATATTACCAGAAACGCTCAGCCGAGAAAAAGGGTAACCGCACTATTACCAGAAACGCTCAGCCGAGAAAACGGGTAACCCCATGCAACATGAACACACGGCACTGTAATTCTGGAATTTACAGATATGAGAAAGCTAATAATATAGAACATGGAAAACTTCTGCATTCTGCTGAAAAACATCATTACCCCCTAAATAAACTCAAATACAAGTACATGTAACTCGAGCTTCATGCAAGAAAATGGAAAGCAGACAACTCCAAGCGTAGCACATTTACCATAATGTAGAGAATTGTCCTCTAAGATCACACAACTTATTTGGGTCTTAAGCAGATGGGTTTCCAGACTCAATGTACTGTAAAGTAGGAAAACTGGGCACTTAGCAACAGAAACAATACACTGCAGGGTTTAAACCCCAGGAATCATAACTGACATTTAATAATACACAATACCTCATCTATGGAAAAACCTTTCTGAAATTAGAAGTTAAACCTACACTACTGAGTAACAGGGTACATTTTGTTAATACAAAACGCCTGTCACAGATGATTCACTGATGGTTTTCTTTCTTTACAACACTAATAAACAGAAATCACCCTGACAGCTAAGTGGTTTTTACTCAGTTTTTCCAAATGGACGCATTCAATTGTATACTTTATAATGAATTCAGCTCAGATTAGGTGATTTCATTTAATCAATAAAGCCAAATGTACAAAATGTTCCTATCAGCAGTGAGAAACAGCACCACTGGCTTTAATATAAGACACAAACCCTGTTCGTTGCATGTGGTTATTGAGTCACTGTGAAATTACACACAGGTCCACCCAGATGAAAAGCAAGAACACATATTAGCTAACGTCTCTTTCAACACTAACACCTATTGATGACCTTATCACTCTACTGTGCATATCTTTGGTGATAACATTTTGTCGCTTTTTTTGTCCTGATATAAAACACACAACTTTTTAGAGCATGTAAAACAGAGAAAGCTTTAAATCGTGAAAGTTGACACTAAGATTTTCTTCATGTTTTAACATGATCTATTATGTCCTTACAGCGAATCTGCTCTAACTGGATCTGAAAAATAGTCCTGTTTGAACATATTCATACACAGACAGGTGTCAGTCTGGGCCCTGTACACCCAGAGGAAAGCAGCTATGGGTGTTCATCGATAACTCAAAATATAACATCCACTATAACAGAGTTGGAACTCACCTTTTCAAATGTTTTAATCCTTGTTTCACTAGTTGGATTCAAGGTAACTTCATGGGAATCAGGTCCACCCACAATATTATTCTATAACAACGCTCAACACAAAGAGAAGTCATATGCAGACAAATTTGGGTGTGTTAATGTGGACTGCATCTGACTGTTGACTTCTTCATGCTTAATGCGGAAGTTCAGGTCTAAACCTGTCACTGCGTTCCCGCTAAGAGCTCAACACTTTCACAACAGTCTTGTCTGGGCAGTGCTAGGACGTCCCCCTTAACACCCCAGCTTATCTGTACTCTACTGCAACTCTGCCAAAGCCATAAACTAGAAGCAACAAAGTTTGCCGTGACTTCCAGCTAAGATGCCCAAGATTGACAACCACTTGCGCAAATGATGAAGTTTGTGGAGGAAAAAAAAAGCTACTATATATCTCGGTGGAGTTGAGAGTACAGCTGAATCAGCATGAGGAATGCAACTGGTCTCGGTTAATAAGTCACCTCACTGAAACTGATTTACAGCAGGCTTTTAGACAAGAGTGGCAAAGTGACAGATCAGAGCAGTGAGGGATACCAGACTCCAGCTGAGTCTGGATTCTTATGAAGACAGAGCCATATATTTTTATATTTGCTGGACATTTTAATAAAGTCAAAACACACCTCTTCTGGCCCACTCAGTCCTTTAGAAACAGCTTTCATTTACACTCAAGCTTTTGGTTTTTTCTTTAGAATAAGGACTGAATATCTTAAGACACTGGTGTGGTGCAAAAGGTCGGTAATCTTCAGGGGGAACTGGTGAAGCGTCAAGCTGTCAAACTACGAATAACCTCTAGCTCTTATCTGACTATGCAGACACAGATAGCTCTATTTATTTGCATCTGTCCTTGAGTCAATGTAGGAGGCCAAAAAAACAAGATTGCATATCTTTTTATGTTCACCTTACAGGAACAAGCAGCTCAACTGAAAATGCCTCAAATATTACAAAATTAAATTCAAAAAGTAGCAGTATGTTGCAAATTTATCCTTAAAAGAACAACTCCATCCCCTGCCACCCACGTTTCCCCCCCCCAAAAAAATTACTTAATTTGAATTCTTTAGATAATATTAGCACTACTTTGTGATATTTTGCCACAAGATCTAGCTCCAAATAGGAATTCAATTCAAAAACTCAAGGGCAGACCACCCTGTCATCATACAGTGAACCTGAGCACCACAGGGGGAAACCAAATAACCCTGACTGTGTCCAAGAGGCTTTCATGACTCATGATGTATTAAACCAACATTCAGGGTACAGGCATGTGTGCCAACCACCCTCATTGTCTCCCTGTCTCAGGGGTTGACAAACAGATGAACACCAAAGATCCAAGGCTCTCCAAGACATGGCCCTGATGTTGTCTGAGAAAACATTTCTCAAATAAATACACTGATTAACAGTTGTGGAGCTTGGCAGCAGAGAGTGGGGTGATTTTTCTGCTTTGTTGTGTCTTTGCAGTCTCTTTTAAGTCACTGAGGGTGGTCCAGCAGGGTGGATACTGGTAATGGTTTTTGCTTGTGTACGTTATGGCTCATACATAACACCGTAGCAGAAACTTTATAAAATGTTTTGAAAAGTTTAGTCATTTTTGTGCAGGTGCTGCAAAACAAAGCCTTTCTCAACAAAGAGCAGTCTGTTGGTTAACCCCAGATGGTGTGTGAGGTGTAACAGAGGGCATACTTTGGAGCCATTAGTCTCCATCATGTTAAATCTCAGGGCTACAAAACAACACAGCCAGCACAAATACCTTTCTTGGGCTTGGGGTACTAAAAGAAAATGGAGTGATAATGATAAAACTAATGGGCATGTTGTGAAACGATCGATCATTTGTTAAATGTAACACTGCAGTGGACAGCCTGCCACTGTGCTGATGTGAAAAGTGATGCATATAGGAGTGTTGTAGTGCCCTCTGTTTGTACACCGCTGTACTGTGCAGGGCAAACATTAATGAACTCAATGGGTGGTTTGGAGCAGTTTATGCTGTTAACTTGAACTGCTGTTTCATACTGCAAATGTGCACCAGGAGATTAAGCACCAATTAGCTGGATGTTTTGGTATGCATGCCACTAGTTTCTGACTGGTTTCCGTGAGCACCCCAGCTGGTTTTGCTGGGATTTATTTTGCCAAAAGAATCCAACAAACTAAGATACTAAAGCTTGTTTTTATTAGTCAAACTCATCAACATACAGAAGACTATTTGTACCAGAAAAGGAACGAACTGGCTTAATACAATAGACAGATATTCAAATACAACTCATTGTAAGCGAAAATAATGATCCATACTGTAAGTCACAAAATGGAACAAGTCTGATTTTGACTTACAAAATGAAAACTATGACATAAGTCAAAATGACTAGATATGTCAAGATTCTGAGATAAGTCAACCATAATTAGTCAGAATTAATAAGTGCAAATTATGAGATGCCCGGCATGACTCAGAATCACCACATACTAAGCATTTTAACTTACTGAGTCAAAGCTATAAAATAATAAGAGAAAATCATAATCAAAATTATGATAAAATATAAGAAGTCTGATTTGTGAGAGTCTAAGTTTGGTCATAATAATTTAACACTGCCTAAAGTCTACATTTTGACTTGCCATGCATTTGTATGCTTGTCTGGCTGCAGTTGGCTTCCACTGGTCTTAAAATGGTCAAGAAGAAATTTACCTCAGAAGCTGCTAAACTACAAAACATCCCACCACACACCGGCCTCAGACAACCTCCCAGTGGACGCCTGGCTGTGCAGAAGCACTATAATGAGTGCACAGATGAGGGTCCAGAAACCAGCTGTGGGACTGACATGCCTGATTTATTGAAGGTAAGGAACACCACGCTCAACCAAAGGCAGGATTTAAAAGAAAAAGGTGGATCTGAACCAAACTCTACATCAGAGCACAAAGACAACAGCAGGTCCACACACCCAAATCTACAGTTTCTTTTTATTTTATTAAATCATGCACAAGGGGAGAAAGAGCACAAATGTTTCAGCGATGCCTTCTTCAACTGAGTGTTTGTTGCACAATGAAGAAGGCGTATCTGAAACATTTGTTTTTTCTTCCCTTGTGCTGTTGTGTGCACGATAAAAAAATCTTAAACAAAGGAAGGCTTTTTGCAAATGTGGATGTGCGGACCTGCTGTTTTCTTTGTACATTCCTGCCTCCTGCCATAGATCTCTTCAACAAAGATTTGACCTCTGCTGGCTCTGTCTAAAGAGAGGGGCATTCGGTGTTGACAACATGTGAAGAGCACTAGGTTGAGGACCAGCAGCTGTCTCAACATTCAGACTGTGCTAGACAAAAACCACTGGCACTCTGCAACTTGGATGGCCACAGGATCATAGGAAAGTCAGTTGTGAGTGGAATAAAACTTGACAGTCATCAGAAGAAATATGACATGACTGGAGAACATCATTTGTCAAGGCACAGACAAAAGTCCCCCCTGTTTTTTTTCGCATTAACATGAGGAAAGTATTTTGGAACTTTGAAAAAGCTGCTTTATTTTGCCTTCTTCTACCTCAGAGAACAGGGAAGGTGAAGGGTTAATTTGTAGTCGCGGAAACCTGATGCTAATTAAGTCTTAGGAATGCCACATACTGACATTGTAGCGCAGAAGCCCCCGGAGTGGGTCAGACCTGGACAGAGCCAACAGCAATGCGCGTGTCTAATGTTTTTATACCGTAGTGACAGTGGGGATAAGCTCACCAAACCCTGGAGCTAAAGGTAATGTCCTGTTAGGAGCAGCAGATCAAGAGTCTCTGTGTCAAGTGTGGTAGTTTATTTTCAGTTGTGACAGGAGGATTCGTGATAAAATATCATTTGTGGGGGTTTCCCCCTTGATGAACCATAAAGCAGTTTATGGGAGTTTTCTAGATTTACTATTTGACAATCTAAAGTTTAACTCGTATTTTTGTTCTTTTTACAGGAAGACACGAATCTATGACTGATGCAAAATGACCGTACTAACATCCGTGCTGTTGCTGTTCTTCTCTTGGGTGTCACTGCACAATACCGCGCACACTGTCGCAGAGACTTGCCGGGGGACGCACTGCTACGGCACGGAACCCCGCGACCCAAGAGCTTGCACCGGAGCGCGCTGCTCGGGAGGCAGGCCCTCCAGACCTCCGCGGCAGTTTAATCCGTCAACTCAGGCAAGAGCAGCGCAGATGGTTGGGAGCCAATACCACGCGTACCCGATCGATCCAAGAGCTGCGCCGGAAGCACATCTGGCCGCCCAGCCGCTCCACGGGTGGCATGGCGACAGCAGCAGCGGCACGCGAATCAGAGCGCATGAAGTTTTACCTGCAGGATGCACCGGCGAGGACTGCGTTACTCCTGTGAAACAATTTCAGCCCACAAATAACACCAGAGACTGTAGAGGGATTGAGTGCAGACTGCCCCTGATAATACGGCCAAAAGCGCGAGCAAAGTCTTGCGCGGAAGAGGGATGTCTGGCTGGTTCAGAAGAGACCGTCTCCTCTACCGCCAGCCAGCTTCCTCCTGTCCATCTGTCCGACAGAGCCGCGCAGTTTATGGGGGATTTTCCGGAGTTTGGATATCCGTCTTCAGAACTTGGCGGCGCGCCTTTGGGTGTCCAGCTCACATGCGACATCAAGCCAGGTTTGCTATTGTCATCTAAAACTATTAACGGTTGCGTTTAGGTATTTAATGGCTGATTTACGTATAAATATCCTTATTGCAAGCAGGAAGAGAAAGCACATCATGCATAATTGCGCGCCAGTCTAACTGCCGTGAGGCATTGTTGGCTCAGTGATAATCTTTAAAAATTGACTGCATGCGGCTATAAATGATCTAAATGGACAGGCCTATTAATCTTTAGTGACTTTTAACTCTCTTTTCCCACTAGTCATCAGTAAAGGGGATTATGGTCTGAAAACAGACTTTGTTGACCTTCAGCTCAAAAATGATATCCCAGTAGCTGAACTGGAATCATGTCTCAGAGTCACTTGCCCAGAAAACGTTCAGTGTCTTGATGTTGGTCCAAATTTAACCCATCTGTTTATCTTTCATTGCTCATTTCATCTTAGGTGAGAATGAAGTTCACTCAGAAGATGCCCTCGTCTTGCATCTCCAGCTGGCCAAGGGGCAGGAGAAGCTGGTAGAGGCCCTGCGAACCCAGCAGATGGTCATTCGCGACTTGCAGCAGAAGCTCGTTGACCAACAGGAGGCGCTGCTGTCCCAGCAAAGGGAGGTTCTGGAGCAGCAGCGGCGAATGTATGAGCAGATGGATGTGGTGAAGGCCCAGTACGCCCTTCTCTCTGACACCGTCAAACAGGTATCCTTCCAGAGTCTGCAGGGTGAGCTGCAGAGCTACTTTGAAAGCCATCTTGCGGGGCTCCAGAGTCAGGCTCGCAGCCACCTGCAAAAGTCCTACGCTGGCCACAAAATGGACATGGACTCAAAAGTAATGGATGTTGTCGGGGAGGCTGAGTTCCCTCAACCTCTGCTGGGATGTACTTCAACTTGTGGACCAGAGGAGTTCTGTGACTTTCAAAGGGTCCCACCTCAGTGTCAGAAGTGCACTATGTGTCCACCGGGATTCTTCCTGATCTCACAGTGCTCTCCTACTGCAGACAGAATGTGCCAGGTACAACTGTCATTTGAGAGGTGGATAACAGTGCTGTGACCAAAACAATGACACAGTTGTAGCTTCATATAAAAATCCATCCGACTGCTAATCAAAGTGAGCTGTTTTCAGCTGGTAGTTGTGGTGTCACATGGTTTTTGAGACAGCAGCTGAAAAAGTTCATACTCAATGGCTGTTCTAAACTTTGATTTGAATAAAATAAATACATCCTTTGCTACTCATGTAATTTAAAATTTAGTTCATTAGGTAATGAAGACCACCACCAAATACCGGCTGTTTGCAGTTTCAGCACAATCTGTGCTTTCTGCACCAGCTTTCAAAAACAAAACAAAACAAAAAAAACAGGTTTAAATACATTAACATTCAAAACACATTCATGATGATAATGCTAATTTGCATGAATTACAGGACAGAGATGAATGCCTTGAATTACCAAACATTTGTGGAGAGAGAGTGAAGTGCCTTAACTCTCCGGGTGAGTTCATCACCTTGTTTATTTATTTGATAATTTATTCCCTAATCTTGGACAATGTGAAAAAGAAGTATTACTCCCTCAGTATTTTCAGTTTTTAATAATTTTCCCACCTATTCATTCATATTTGATCATATACACATTATGATCATAGCTACCTAATAGAAAACAAATGAGCAAAATAATCATCATGCACTGAATCACACGTCTGCAGAGCTGTTACACTCCTTGATTTCTCCAATCTCTACTCTCCTTTACTGCTCAGGAGGTTTCAAGTGTTTGGGAGTTCCTGAGAGAGAAGCAGTGACAGGCTTGTGTGGCCACAATTACTTCTACAACCAGGAGCTGCAGGAGTGCCAGGCCTGTTCAGACTGTGATGGAGATCCTGTCACTGTTCCCTGCACAGCCATCTGCGACACAGTCTGTGGCCATCTTTCGGAGAGCCGGCTCTCCCAGGCTTGGGCAGCACATGTGGTACTTCCCCCTCCCAAGACCTCCGGCACCAACATCTTCCCTGGGCTTCAGCTAAACATCCTAGGGAAGGAGACCAGTGACTTGCTGTCAAACAACGCGGGTCAAGTGACCTTCCTGCAGCATGGCCTGGTGTGGCTGGATCATAACGTTGCAATAAAGCACAGCTGCAGGAATTTCCTCCAGGTGGGTATGAGGCTCAACGGGAGCCAGGAGGAGGAGGGTCGGGACCTCAGCGGTGTTCGCATCGAACAGCCAGACGGGAAGTACTTCCAGGGAGTCAGCGTCAGCAGTGGAGTCGAGGTGGAGCCTAATCATGTCTTCTCTCTGCTGTTAAAGAGTCCAAACCAACACTGCAACCAGAGCAAGGATCTTCACATCTACGATGTCATCACTCCCTCTTTAAGCCTGCTCTGGTTGTCTCATGATACTGGTGCTGTATCTATGACAGCCCAGATGTCCCTGCTGGTGCACTACCAGACTAGTTACCGCCCGACTTTCCGCATCACCTCAGTGTCTGACCCCTACATGATCAGCCTGACTCATGACAACCGTGGAGTTCGCTTCACAGAAAGCGGTGTGGTCAAGTTTGTTCTTCAGCAGGCGCTGTACTCCATGGGCCACACCTGCATTCAAGAGGGTTTGTCCCTGATTGCTTATACTAACCAAAACGGGACCGGTCAGGAGACAACGCAGGCCTTCAAGATAGGAGTCAACTACCGGGACACCTCCATCACTCTTTCTGGTGCTGTGAGTGTAGACAGCAGAGACGCGCTCAGCTTCGAAATCACATCTCCATCCCAGTGCAATGTCCGCTACTTTGGGGATGGCACTGGGATCAGCATGCTAAGCCTTATCTGGATTCCTTCAGCAATGTCATCAGCTTTGACTGCTACTGTGTCCAGGACTGGTCTTCCCTTTGGAGCAGTGAGAAATAAACCCTTGTTGTTTGAGCAGATCAGCTCAGACACACCACAGGTTCATTTGGCCCGCTCAGGTGAGCCAAACACCCAGAAGAACTTCATATTTCATCAAAAAGGGACAGCAAACATAGCCCTCAACCTGAAGCTGATCCACTCCTGTAATATAGTAAAGCTGACTTTGCAACGGGTGGGGGTTGTAGGTCAGGGAGAGCAGTCAGGTCCTGTGGCTCAGCAGGTGACTGGATACATGCCAGAAGGGAGTGAATGGGCCAGTATTGGGCTGAGGGCCTCATTTCAGGTCCAAAATGGCACAGCTGTGTATGTTACTCTGGACTGTATCCGTGGACGAGTTAACCAGATAACACACGCCGGAGGCACTAACATTTCACTCCTATGGGTTGCGATGTGATCCAAGAAGAGCTGGTGCCTTGTCATGGATGCATTTTGAAAAGAAAAGACAATTTTGCACAAAAATGAAATGTAGAGCAGATTCAACAATTTACCAAATTGAGGAAGAACACTAGTTGATAAAAACTGTGCTAATCTATTCCACATATTTTATGATATTACCATTTTAAATGTATATTTCATCACCTGTTTAGAATTTTATTAAGTCTTTTTTTGGGTGTAATTAACAAACGGTAAGTACTGCGTTTGCTTCAAGTACTTCAGCTGGTTGAGCAGTGACCAATTCTACATTGAACATCAGAGTGTTTGTGTGTCGGGACAGTGTGTGCACTGGTGCTTATATTTGTATGTGTTTACATATGTACACACAGATATTGACATGCTTACTTCTGCAGTCATTTAATATGCATATCTTTCCAAACCTGCATATATTTAATATACATACTGTATGTATCAAATCTTTTTGTGTTATATCATTAGTCTTTAACAAAACATTTTCAGAAATATGCTAATCACCTTCTGGAGGAGAGTCAGACCGGAAGATCACACTTAGCAGGCAGTTAGCTGGAAACGGGAACAGATTAATATTTATTATTATACAGATTAGTATAGATTAAACATACTGTATCTTGTATGTTTAATCTATACAAAATTCAGAACTTTACAGGGAGTTATGTGCAGAACTGTTTCTTGGCCAGGATGTGTAACTTCCTGGAGTCTATGTTGGAAATAACCCCTCCTAAAACGCTAAATTGCTGTTTTCACATCATTTTTATATGACATAAACAGAGATTTACAGAAACGGAGGATCAGGTTGGGGGCTTTCCAAACCTTTGGACAGAGCCAGAGCTGCTTCTGCATTTGCACCCTTTATCAAACTGATAGGATGTGATGTCAGTCTTCTCATCTTACTCACCATAAAAACAAATAAGAGTATTTTCCAAAATGTCACCCTATTGCAATGTAATAAACTTTCAAAAAGCTTAAGGGTTTGTACTTTTGCTTTTGATTATATTTACTTAATTGTATGCAACAGGACTTCACATTTACAAAATGCATATATTTGTCAGACAAGAGTAAAAATATTTTCAAAAATGTCTCAAATGTTACAGTAAAGCACGAATTGGGACATGCTGGTATTCAAATACATGCAGTGTGTTATCGTATGTTTATTTGCACACATATAGGTTAACATAGCGTCATGGAATGTGCAAACATGAAACTTTGTTATTTTATCTAAATGCTACTTCTCTACAGAATTTCCCATGCCTATTATTCCTAACTGTTTGTCTGTGTTCTGTCCAAACATTTAGACATAATTATTGTAAGTGTGTCTGGGAGTTGGCATCAAAGCCACCACTGAAGTTCTCCAATATGTTTAGTCATTTTCTTTTGCGGCTGTGTTTGGACATCCTACACTACACGTCTTGCAGAAAGTAATTCATGTATACTAGTTCAACATCAAATAAAATGCACATATACTTTGCCAAAAAAGAATTTTACTCTAGCCTGTAAAAACTAAATGGCCTTGGTGGTTTTATTCCAAAACATTTTTTCAGGCAAAAAACAGGACCTAAAACTGTCTGCATAAGTGTAGAAACTATCAGAGATGAGAAACTGCACTGGAAGACTGTAGTATAGCATGATATGCACCTAAAGCACTCATTTGACCTTTTTCCAATATGCTGACAAGGATTTTATGGTGAATATACCAATCATGACAATCAGCATTTCATTCTTAATGACCATGATTTTCCATTAAGTTAAATGGTAAAAGTTTAACATTCAGACTTTACTCATTCCATTTAATATCAAACATGTTGAAACTATTTGAAAGCAACCTTATCCAATAGCAAAGGTGTTAAAATGACAAATAATATCTAGAAAATTAACACAATTTTCCTCTCAATTTGTTTCAATCATCAACTATTCCTCCATTTATCACCTATAGAACTGTTCTTTGTCTTAAACAGAACAAATAGCCTGAGAGTCAATGAAAAAAAACAGTCTGGCTGTGAGAAACAAATGTTTGTCGGTTGAGTGAATTGAAAACAGGTGTTTTAGTGGAGCCGTCCTCCAGATGTCTGACGCTATAGAACAGATCAGAGCCACAGCACATGAAGAAGTTCTGAGACATCAGAGAGAAAAACAGGAACAGAGAAACCAAAAAGGAAAGAGAGAGAAAAAAGAAAGGTGTTTGTATTGAATCCATCATTTTTAACAACAGAAATAGAAAAACACACATTTAAAAAATTAGCCAAAAAGTATCATAAGGGATTAGTGTGTTTTTCAGGTTTCTGCAGAGCTCTGCTGCCCTCTACTGGGCCGGCAATCCTTTGACTAAGCTTTAGGTCATTTTAGCGGTTCATCAATTCAGTTCAAGTCAATGTAACACATGTAGCGCCAACTCACAACATGAAATCACCTCAAGGCACTTTGTATGGTAACCTTACAGTATTACAGAAAAAAATCCAACAAACCCCCCTTGAGCAAGCGTTTGGCGACAATGTGGAGGAAAAACTTCACAGACAGAACCAGGCTCTTGGTGGCCATTTGCCTTCACCCATTATCCGATCATTTACACACTTTAAACCTGTTGTTGTGGCCAGTCAGGACCAATGGAAACATGCTGCAAAAACAACACTGACATATTATTACCACCTTCTGATATGCAGTATGGCAAAAAAAAAATTGGCAGCAAACTCTTTCCGTAAACACAGCCTTTAGGGGCCATATGTTTCTGGCCTAATTCTCACTCTGGGTTTGGTTTCCACCATGAGTGCTCCACTATGTTCACCAGCTAAATCTTTTACTCCGTAACACTGATTTTTTTTAGAGGGTTCCACACAAAAATCTGCTGCCGTATACAGAAAAAATAAATACAATTCTAGAGCCCTGGAGAGCTGAGTGAACCTACAGAGTTTCTGTAGGTTCACTCATTTCTCTCACATACATATAATCATGCATCCATTAAAATACTGATTATGGCAGCTTTAAATGGGTAGCATGCTTATCCTTCATTTTATCATGCAGGGTACCATTCAAACAATCCTCAAACAAAAATCAGATGCCAAACTCAGTCTAGAATAATCAACAAAAAGAATTTCAAAATTCAGAACTTCAATTCATAAATGTTGTGAGGTTAAAACACAAAGAGCTACCACACATTCTGATGAGCTGCAGGCCTGCATGTCACTTTATTTGGGACAAAACAGAGAGACATCATTCACCACTGCAATACATCTGTTGAGAGTTTATTTGCTTTCTGAGAGCCTTTGCTTTTGGAGCGCACTCAAGCAGTCAGTGGCATGTGAGGACGTTACTCTAACACAACGGAAATCTGATTTCAAAAGTGAAACTGTTGCAACAACTGATTTATCCAGTATGTCTAATCTTACTATTTTTTATGTTTAGAAAGTATTTAACTCAATACTTAGCAGCATACAACACTGTGCCATAGACACATCAGTTGCAGTGATTTGTGATGGAGGTGATCACCCTCTCAATCCGATCCTGGCCCCCGTCTGCTCCAGTGCTAACTTGAAAAAACCGGAGACTGACTTGCGTTAATCAGAAGTAGATGTTACTGTAAGAGCCAAGGCCTATTGTCTACAGGGAAATGGGTGGACCATGTGCTCAGGCTTGATGCTGCAAAGCTCCACACAACACATACAGAGGATTTTACTGGTGTGAAGAAAATGTGTAATGTTGTTGACTTTTTAATCAAACTCGCTGCTTTCCTTAGAGAACTAATCACATCAAAGAGTTTATATTGAAATTGAAGTAGGAGATTAAATTATTCAACTGGTGAAATTCCCGATGGCACTTTTCGGTGTTGTGAGAGCCGAGGTTTTACGCTGGATTCTTTTCCTCTTAACAGTCAAAATATTTTGTAATGCTCCAAATGTTAGCTGCTAACTTTTCTAACTCTGTCAAGTCATAGGAACCTACCTCATCCATGATCAGGAATGTTCTGGTCATACAGAATACGACTGGAAAGAAGCAGCAGATCCTTCTTTGCCAGCACAGATGGATTACCGAACGGTAATTTCAGAAGAAAAGTCATGATTTCAAAGTCAGTTGGATTTATCCTCTAGGAACCACAAAACACATTTTCAATTCACTGCACTCCTTTAAATATTTGTTGAAATATTCAATCTGAACTGATCACCATCCAGAGAGATATTCTGCCAGAATGGCTAAAAATGTGTAGCTTCACGTCAAATCACTGAGTTTAATTCAAACCCTGAGTTTACCTCCATTTTGATACCTTGAAGAGAGGTTTACAGGTCTTGTTGAAATGTGTCTGGACACTAGGGCACTGGGAACTGGTTTGGTCTCTCAGTTTTCATTTTTCACAAATTCTCCATTTATCCGCCCCTTCCTGAACATCCAGTTGTCTGCTGCACCCTCCTCCCCTCCTTCGTCCATCTGTGCCGGTGTTTCTCTCCTCATTAGAGCAGTTAGTGATGCATGAAGGAATGAGCTGCCAGGTCAGTAGCCAGAGTGAGATTCATACTGAACAGACTGTGAAAGGTTTCTCCATCTTACTACATAAAAAAGTTGACCACAAAGCTCTTTCAAATTCCTAAGATTTTCTATGTCATTAAACAAAGTATAACCCATCAAAAATGCCATAAAGAGAACGCTGTTTTTTTCATAGTATAGCATAAGCGATATTTATTAGGATATGGCCAGCAAAAGGTAGACTGGCCTTAAAAACCATTGTGCTGGACATGCTGTATCTCTTTTTTTTCTAGACTTGACAAGGGTTCTGCATAGCCCCCCCCCAATGTCTGCTAAATTCCCCGATCACCAGGAATGCAGCATTTAATTTTCTTGTGCTCTAGCTGACCTTAATCACTTCCGAGTCAAGGGCAAACTAAAATTCCGGGAGCCACGGGACCTATCAGAATGGCTCAGAAATACTCACCCGTGTGTGTGTGTGTGTGTGTGTGTGCGTAATATATGCATGTAAATGTAAAAGGGAATGAACCCTGTCTTTCTGTCTTCATGAGGAGGCCGTTTAAAGCGCTGATGATGAATAATAGGTTGGCTGAAAGTGAGCAAGCAAGTCCCTCTGGTGTATATTTAAACAGTGGAGTGATGCTCTCTTGCTCACATCAACTCACTGGTGGTGCATGAGGTTAATTGCTTTCTCCAGCAGGTGCTTACAAAGTAACTATCTCACTGAATGCATTCATACAAATGACTCTGCTTATACCACACCTAAGCATACAAGTTGAGCGAAGCTGTGTGCCTGGGTGTGCGCGCACTGCTTTGCAGCAGTATGCTTAGGTAGCAGGCAGCGCACTGTACAAAGCGAGGTCACAAAGCTAATGAGCACAACTGACTCAGGCTAACAAAGCAGGCTCAACAGCCACACATAAAACAGGACAGCAGTACCATAGCATCAAAACTGTAATAAAAACTGTAATAGTCCAGTATTTATAAAAGCGGATGGAGCACAGCAAACACAGACTTGGAGATTTGCAGGTAAAAAAGTGTGAAGACATTAACACAAAATTATGGTTGGAAAGTGAAAGGTGTAGTCATAGAATTCCTTGGTTAAGTTTAGGTTTTGGTTAAAATCACTACTTTAGTTTTGGTTACAAATACATTGTTTACACTCAGTAGGAACACTTGTTTTCTTGGTCTTCTCTTAGCCTCAGCCACACTGTTTCCATGTTCAGATACTGTTATCATTGAGAATGTACAGAAAAAGGTGTCATTGAGTATAATCCGGGGTTGCTCAAATCATCCAGTGTAAATATTCTTGTTTAGAACATGAGCAAATCCAAAATGTTCTTAGTACTTCTACTTGCACACCTGTACAGCTCCAGAATCAAACCAAGCCTGACAGGACCTGTCAGGATCCAAGGGTTTGGATCAGGTTCAGACAGAAATTATGTCTAGATCAGATTGGGATACGTAGTTCCAACTGTAGGCTATGACAGCCAGTGCATGCAAATGTCTGCTTGTTAACAATAAGGGGAAAAACACTGTACAAACTTAACTGCGTCAGACTCCGGTCAAGTTTGGACATTATATACCGCAAACTTGTCTGGTCCAGGTCGGGTTCGGATGGCACACTGTCAAGCAAAGGTCAGGTTCGGACAGAAATATGCAGCTCAAGCCATGCTCTTATAAACAGTAAGTCTGAGTTTTTGTTACTGGAAACAGCTGTCTGCTCTGTCTTGGAATGACCTTAGAGCGGTGAGAGTGAATCAAAACAGTAAAGCTGGGGGATATATAACCAAAACAAGGGGCTGAAACATGCTGAAATGCTCCATAGAGCTGAGGGGATCTGGAGCTGGGTATGCTAGTACAAGCAACCCCTTTCACATCTGACCCATTGTTAATTTAATAATACTGATTAAAGCAGCTTCAAACTTGTATGCAATACAAGCATTTGACCTCAAAATCAGCAAATCCATGCTTGGTGGGAAACTTCACGCTGCTCTGCTCATAAATAGCACAACATATGGAGGGAAAAAACAGGCTTTTGAAACTTCTGGTGCTGTCAACTAAGCATGCTGCCTCCCCCCTAGGGTGACTAGGCTTACATGTGTTAGCTGAGCAGTGTCAGGGCGAAACTAAACACTAACGGATGACCTACCAGCTCCTGTGCCGACATCAGGGCTCAGGCAGAGTATGGCTCAGAAGACTGTGAGGTGAACGCCACCAGTTCCATCAGACGCCAACATCTGGCTCGGCTTAGCCGCCCTACATAAACACAAACACACACACTTGCAGACAAGGACTGCTTTCAGGAAGACTTCAGTCATGAGAATCTTTTTGGCCTTTCTGTCAAAATGTTTTGATAAGCCTCAGTCAAGCAGCCAGTCTGATTTTACCATCTGTTGGTTTGCTCATAAATCACCAGCAAGTTTGAGAAAAGAGTAACTTCGCTGATTTAATCTTCATGATATGTTTGCAGCGTCTCCTATCTGCATACTGTGCATTTGAATGGATGCTTTGTGTATTCACATAGAGGATAAGAGTGTCAGGGATTTCTAAGATCTGTGTCAGGGTTGCTGTTAACACTGAGCAGATCATCCAGGTGACACTGGCGATAAACTGCTCATGTGAACGTCTTTGATTACTGAGGCAGGCCGAATCTTTGAGAAATGCCAGACCTGGTCATTTAGTCGTTATGTGTATCATTCTTTGACTTAATGCTTAATCTGTTAAGGCAGTGATGAACTCATTTAGACTGTCTGAAAGAACCAGCTGCCTGTCAGGACAATAACAGCAGCAGTGAGTCTGCAGAGGCAGCATGTCCAGGCTGATGGAAACTAATTTGGAAGGCTCACGGCATGACGATCTATGTGATGTCAAGAGTAATTCCTTGATAATTTATGCAGTATGAGCTGACAAGTCATTTTGTGGCTGTGTGACTCTGCAGGAAGCAACGGCACATAAAACCTCTCATGAATGTTCTGTTTGTCTGCGACTTTGTCCAGTATTTTGTGTGTCAGTGACGTGCCCCTGCTATTAGTTAACTTGCCTTTGACAAGACTGCCATTCGTTGGCTTCACAAATTCATGTAGCCTATATAATAAAACAACATTTTCTTTAATGGCTAAAACTATAGTCTATTAATACTGTATTACTTGTATGCCATGCTAACAGCAGTACATAGGGGTAATTATGTTCAAGCAAGTTGGTCCAGTGCAGAGACATCCAACTGTCAAATCAACCACTGGCTTTTTACTCACGTAAATGCATAATCAATATCGCAGCCTCTCTTGGCTTATCATAATATTCCCCTGGGAGACATGTTGGCCTAAAGCTGAGTCACTGTCACATTGTAGGTGAACTGCTGACAGTCATTAACGTGGCCATTTAGGAACACTATCTTGGGTAACTTTAGTTTGGCTGATAAATAACAACACGTTATGCATTTACTTTTACCCTTACCCCATCATTAGCTGCTGTTAGCTCGTTTGGTGAGTAGTTTCTCTCACAGCACTTCTACTGTTGTTTACGAGCTCCACATACACCAAGGCCCAACTCTCTCAGCTTTGTAAGCAGCGTATTTATATCCATTTTAGCCACTATTAGCTACAGCTAGGTATTGGGGAAGTGGGTGAGACGTCACACATGCACAAAGGTACCCCAGACACGGGGGCAGGTTTTTTTTTCTGGTGTCCTAAAACCACAAACTGCAAAAACACTACAACTACGATATCCATAAACTCCCGTCTGCCTTAACTAACTCTGGTCACAGACTGAGAAGTGAACAATAAGCTACACCGGAAATGTTTCAAATGAGCGCTAAACTGTGGTGGACAACGTCGGCACCGTGTCCATCACTATTTAGCTCCCCCTGGAAACATTTTTATTGTAGTATGTTGCCGTTTGCAACGTTTCTGTATTTCAGTAGTGTTTTGTAACGTTTTCTAAATTCTGCTCAGATGTTGTAAAATTGGTGACTTTATTTTCTTAATTTGCTTGCATTTATTTGCATGTCTTTTTCAAGTCACAACGCATTGGGGGCCATCTCAGGGCCACCATACTATATATGGGCTTTTACAAAAAGGTTAATTATCTGGTTGTGGACCAGTTCTTTGTAAGAGAAACTGTGATTATTAGCAGGTGGTAGTTTTCTTTTTATCTTCTGTTGGCCCGTGTGTGTGAGGCAGAAAGTTGAAGTAAACCATGTGGGAACCTTTCACAGGATGGCCTTTTGCTTTTCTTCTTCTAGGATTTGGATTTTTTACAAGGATGTTGTAATCACAAATAACAGAGGAAAACATAAAAATAACGATCCATGGGGAGAATAATGGAAACTTGACCTATTTCCCAAAATTTCCAGCCACATTTGCAGTACATGCCTATTTTGAGAATAAACAAAACACTCCCTTTTGCTCTCTGATGAATAACTGTAGGGAAGCAGTGCCACCTAGAGAGATATTTATAACCTACCCAATGTTGCTCACAGAAACATGTTTTTCACTGGAGTAGCACAAGAAGGCATCATGTGGCATTTGTGAAACATACCTTTATTATCTCAGAGACTTTGAGAAAAGTGATTAATTTCTATACTACACAGAGAGACTCCTGTTCTATACTAAGAACAGGCCACTTTTAGAGATAATATTTTAAAGTATCACTGAACTTTAAGCTTCACACAGATGATTCATTTCAGGGTTATTGTATGAGTTTGCACTTAATTATACACAAACTGCACTTACTGAGTACAGTTTGGATTCAATGCATTGTGTAACATTTACATAACTAAGCACTACAACAGTTTTCAGAGTTTTCAACAGTTTCCACCTTGTAGTGGTCTGAAAGTGCTACTTTTCATGTCCGCTTTGCTGTTCAATAATCGTCTCACCAGTTTATGTAACAATTAAAACCTTTTCTTCAACACTGTTTTATTTGCTATAAGACAGAAATAATTTGTGAACTTGTAGAAAAGAAGAAAAAACATTCAATTAATCTTTGTTTGGACAAGGTTTATTTCAGTTATCCCAAGAGTAACACATAGTTCAGGACAAATGAGTGTCTGAGAGAAGCTAGCACAGCAATTTGCAGAACAGGATTCAAAATTGCACCATATTTAGTGAAAATTACCAGCACTGTGAGGACCAGGGATATCCTTGTTTCTCATTAACAAACTTTTCTGTAAGCAAGAAACCAGATAAAAATTGTTTTCTTAATTTCCATCTAAAGGGATAACAATACCTGCACTGGACAAGTTTTTGGACAATCAAATTCAAATCTTATAATTTAGCATACATCTCATTGAGTCAAGGGCCTTGGTAAAACTAAATCAAAAACAGTGGTGTTATGGCACCGTGACACAAGTCAACAAACTCTCTCAGATGTACAAACAGAACAGCAGCAGACAGCCAACATTAGAAGAAGCACAAAGATACATTGTCACTGCTACCAAAGGTCAAAGCGAAAGAGAAAGTAAGAAAAGATCATACAGGCGCAGAGCAGAGAAGAGCTTTCAGAAAGACATGCTGAAGGACTACACAATCACACAAACATATATATGTATAATATTCTGAGCTGCGACAGTCTTCAAGCAGAAGAGAAAGACAGAAAATAGAGACAGATCAAGCGTGGAGAGAATACAGTGCTAGGCAGAGTTTGCATGCTTGCAGCACAGAGAAACTTTACAGGAAGCCCAAGACAGAGAGATCACATGTAAAGGCTAGAGCGACAGTGCACTAATCTACAGGCTAAGCTATACATCGGACACTAAAGCTAATTACAGAAGCTATACATACGGTATATAAATAGATATATAGGATATTGTATATCAAACGAGCTGGACAGGCAAGGCATCGCATGCACGTGCAAATGAAGCAAGTCTAGCAGCAGCAAGAGAAACAAAAGTTTTGGCTTTCCAAGACTACTACCACAGTGAGACTGTTTTGTTGCTGTAATAAATCTGATGTTTTCCGTGTCACAGTGTGTATGACAATTTTGTTTGGAGAACGAACAGATATTGGACTAATAAATCTTTTAAACACCAGCTACTCTCTGTTGGGATTTAAATAAGAAGGCCCATATGTCCAAACTGCTAGAAAAAAAACTTAATTAAATCCAACAGACCCTTGACTCATGACACATTCGACCTAAGAGTTTAAGTTATATTTTTGAGTAAAATTTTTTAACATCAAAGTATGAACAGCCATTGGACATTGTACGCTATAAGGTCATATGTATAGTCTAAAGTGCACAAGCTCCAGTTTGGAGCTAAACTAGACAATACTGGCAAATTGCTACTAAGGCAGCACAGTTACAAACACACTAAGGTACATGGCACATACTGTCAAGTATCACTTGTGCACAAAAACACAGGGCTTCAGACTCAAAATGGCTTTGCATATTCATTTAAAATACAAAGTATCACTCTTCATCTCTGAGTAAGACTCATAAATATTTCGAGGTGAAATCTATCTGTTTCTTTAAAGCCAGTCCCTGAAACACATTTTCTTTGAATAGCTAGTCACAAACCAAGTAAACATACATACACACAGCCGTTTGGACTAACGGATGAAAATACGAGTAATCTAAATTCAAAATAGAGAAACTATGAATAGCTTAACTTCACAAATAGTCTCCAGATATATCTTATATACACATATGTATACACAAAGATATGTACTTAGGATATCTTGAAATACTATTTACAATTTATGATCAAAAGTGATTGTACACTGAGCATGTTGAGCAAATTGTGCTTTCCTAAATTGTTCTAATGAAAATGCTACAGAACCTCTTGTTAAATGAGAGTTCACATTCCATCAACAGGGAGTGTGATTTTAGTTCAGTATATTCTGAGTGAACACTTGAATTAGCTGTTTTTCTATTTAGCAGGGTCTATAGATTTGACTCAAATATTGCTTGTGAATGAATAAGGAAGAAGTCTCAGTTGATATACTAAGTGATGCTCTTCCTCCCCTGATGATTTAGTGCAAGTGATGTCAGGTTTACAGCAGCTAGAAATGAGGTGAGGTCCCCATGTCAAAAGAACTTGGTTATTGCCCCTTTCCCATCCCAGTTTCTCAGATTATTTGATCTTTCTTAAATGCTCCTTCAAAAATGTCCACTGACTAACAACTTCTTTAAGAGTGGTCCTGTAAATGACAACTTTACAGATTCAAGGTTATAAGCCTTAAGATTTCTGTCCTGGCTTATTTGGCATCACCTGTTAGTAACTGGTGATAACACCAGGTGGATTTTAATAATACAGGTCCCAGAATGTGAAATGCCAAAGCTGACTGCAAGGCAATTTTGGAATAGTTGCCACAGTCAGCTGTGCAGTTGCTCATTGGCCTCACTGCCCACTGGCTGTATTAACTTTTTAGTGGGCCCTGGGGTGAAAATTTGCTTTTGGGCTCCTACTGACCCCCTCACCTAGTACACTCTGGATATCCACTGCAATCAACACTAGTGTTAGTTTGTGGCAAATTAAATAATTACATCCTTAACTCAATGTAATCTAAAATATACAATAAAATAAACTAAAATATAAAAAAGGAAAGAGTCTTAATAATGCTGGACCCGTAAATATTGGTTCTTAGTATAACAAATTTCTTAACAAATTTGCAATTAATGAAATTACCAAAACAAACAGGTCTGGAGCCGCTTTGCAGCTGCAGTTTGCCAAGTTGGCAACCCAGCCTTGCTGGAAAGTACAGCTTTACCTGTTTACAATTAAACTAAAACTGTGGCTGCCGGGATGAATCTTGTCCCACTGTTTTAATAAAAAACAGCTAAAGAAGGAAGTTAATCATCTGACAAGATAATACTAAACTCTTAAGCAAAGTGTCTTTTGCATCTGATGACATGCTTTAGAAAAATTTGAATCCTGAACATGAGGTGACAGTGAATACTACTACTGTACAGTAACACAGAGCATCAATTACAGTATGCAAATACACTAAACTGCTGAAATATGTTGGCCATTAAATTGAGTTTGATATACTGAAAATTATAATCGTATAATAGTTATAATTGTATGTTACCTCTGAAGTGCTGTTTATTCTCATATCTGATCATCATTATGACACGTAAATCACACCCAGCACAATTAAATATACAGCCAGGTTGGAAATGTTTGATATGTGCATGTAGAGAGCTGGTGACATCGAACAAGATGGGTTTAACAAGCATCTACCACCTTAAATATACCAGAAAAATACACATAGAATAAAAAGTCTTAATAAAACTGTCAAAGGCTAAGGACTGATGAGTGCATAAATACTCTGATTCAACTTTGCTGTCGAGTCATTTTGATGGATTTTCCTCACTTTCTTTTCATGTGAATATTCCCAAATCTATACTGTGACTCACTCTGGTCGGGACACTTACCAAACATGAGCCGATACTGCTATACGCCAGTTAAGAGAATCTGTCCAGTGAACTGCTTGAAGTACTATGTGCAGATGTAAAGGCAGTTGATTAAGCTGAGGTAAGGTGAAGTGCTTTTGTTCTTTTAAAACCATAAGTTTAAAATGTCAAGTTACAACAGAACACAACCACATTTAACGACATACTGGGCAAATGAGAAATGATTTAAAAATAAACTCTTCCTCATCGACCTATGGCACAAGCATTTCATATCACAAAAAATATATAGAAAGTTACATCACTTACACTACTTTGGGATATACTACATACACTATAGGAAAGGCAGACGGAAGCGCTTTTACATAGCTTTGGACCAAGTTAGTCCACGGCAAAGCTACAATACATAATATATGGATATATCTCAATATCTTTTTTCTCAAATATACTCTGAAATATCTGATTTTGAAGGAACAAGAGAGAAAAGAAAAAGTTTACCAGTACATTCACGACAAACAGTTCATCCATCAAGGGGAAACACACAGGAGGAGTTGGTGAAATGAGTCTTACAGATCCTGGCCAAGTCGTTCAATCTCCTCAATAAGAAAGTCAATGTCCTCATAGGTAGCACCGGGATTTGAGATCACCATGCGGAAAAAGTTGACCTTGTCCCCTTGTGGCTGATAGCTGACCATGGTTGTCCCGTACTCCATCATTCTGGCCTTTATCACTGGAGCCACCTGATAATAACACATAAAGCAGGATCTATTGTTGCCTCAGAGAAGTAAGTTAGTAAAGTTTATTTATTTGTACATCTTTCTAGCTCTACACTCACAAAGTGCTTCACACAGATGTACAACTTACAACTATAGCCTATATGAAACAGCAATATCTTCATAAAAACAACAACATAATAAGAGTACTATAAAAAATTACAACATAATACAATCACAAATTAAAAGCCATTTGAAAAATATGGGTCTTGAGCTGCTTCTTAAAAATGTCCAGTGTCCACAGATAGCAGATAAATTAAAATACATGTTGTCACAATAAATGGGTTAACACTTTGGCAGCTATGTCCCGACTGAAGGGAGTCAGTGAGTGTGTGTCTCCCATTTGACAGTTCAAATATCAATTCATGTTTTTGTGTATACGTTTAGTTTTCCAGCAACTGTAAATGTTACCTTTTCATTTTAAATTATTTCAATCGTGGTCCATGTAGCTCATTATCTCTCACCAGTCTGACAATTAAATATGACACCAGCAGTGAACACACTGCTCTCTGGCTGCTGCTGGCGCCGTCACGTAAACAGGTGATCTTCAGGGAGTAGAGCATTTATTTTGTGCTCGTCTTGATCAGCTATGGCAGATTCAATTACAAGTTTGAAACTCATAACTCCTTGTTTTGACCAACACCTGCCTCCATTTTAGTGAGGGAAAACACTCAATCTGTGTTTCTGAAATATCATTTTAGGACAGTGCTTGTTATTTTTTAAGTATACTGGGATCTGTAAAATGGAAGATAAAAAATGACCATACGTCCTGTATTCTTATGGCCCATATTAACTTAAGGATATGCATAAAAGATTCAGTAATTTTAAGTGACAGTTTGCTGCAGCTTCATCTTACGTTAACAGTCACTCATTTAATCCTGAAGTGCATCTTAATATAGTGGGAATTTTAGAAAATCGGGGGTTATTAAGTCCTAAAAATCAGACATTTAACACTTGACTAGCTCCTCAAGGAACCAAATTTGTGTTCACCATCAGTCTGCTGGATTAGTTAGCTGTGTATAGAGACTTCCAGTACTGCAGTACTCTGTAGCTGTCATCACATAATCAGCAATTTCCTCTAAATCTCCTGCAGGTGTCCTGCAGCATTTGGCAGGCCTGTAATTTCTGTAATAATCAATCAGCTGCTGCAGAGTTCCATCAAATCAGTCTTTGGACAATTTTCCTGTTCCCCTAGCACATCAGAAGAGGTCTTCAAGGCAAGTGGAAACTGAGAAAAGCTCTTTCAATTCAGAAAAATGCAACAAGACATCATCCCTCTGTCTCATTGTCAGAGGCTACAGGAAAAGAGTATGCTGGCCAAATGCTCAGTCTAGTGACGCACAACTATAGTGCTTTTTCAGTCAAGTTTTGGAAAACAAAAGGAAACCGCTTCTATATGAATTATGACAAAGATGGTAATAATTTATAGCTGATGGTGTTTTGGAGAAAGAGTGAAGGAAGAACTCTTTGTATGGCTGGCACATGCACCATCTGTTTGTCCTAATTGTCAATTAGTAGAACCTTGCTGCTGTGGGTTCCTCTAAATGGCCACCACCTAGCTAACAGAATAGCCTCCCTCCCTCACATCCGGCTTGTGACACCCTTCCTCTGTGACTGTGTATACTATTTTTATTGTCACAATTTATATAAAATATTTCCCATACTTCTGGCAAAGTATTTTTTTAAATCACGAGTGTAATTGTTGTGCCTAATGAGGAGGACATGTGATGCTCAAACCAGATAGGAATGACAGGCTTGTAGGGCACAGGGAAGGGGCAGTGAAAGGTGCTTCTGGTAGATACTGCAGTCAGGCCTCTTATCTTGGTTTACCCACCTTGTGCAAATGCTTCTTTCTCTCCTCTTTGTCCTCCATATAGCGGATCCCAGGAGGGAGGTACCAGAAACAGACATTGGTGTGCTGAGGCTGTGGGAACACACACACAGTCAAGTGATGACAGGAATAAAATGCCAGAGTAACACAAAAGCTAAAATATGTCTGGGAAATGATTTAATGTTAGTGACTCTGTGTGTCATTATATGAGGTTGGCTGATTCAGAATAGCGTTGATTGCCAACAGTTTTTAGATTAAGCTACATGAACCTTCTACTACACACTGAGATGTTGATGTTTTTAAGCAAACTGTAATAATACACCAATACTTGTCAAAGATTGGAAATATGTTTTGTTTTTAATGTGATTTTTAAAATGTAATGCAAAATTATCTGTTTGATTCATTCCCACTCAACTCTATGCACAAGACATGCATTAAATAAACATAAACCTACATATGCAATTAACCCAGTATATACACATACTCATGTACATTCAGCCATGTTGTAGAACTGAAAGAAATGTAAAGGCATCCTTGCATGAAATCCTACAGATCTGCCAAAAAAGTGCTGAAAGCTAGGTAAGCCAAAGCAGGTTTGACTGAACAGGGGCAATTTGCTCCTCAAAAAGAAAATCCATTAGTGTTACGGCAAGCCGCACACCAAAAGAGCGACTGGACTCAGTAATAGACAGGACTCAAACTCAGGTCAGAGAAACATATTTATTTGACAGAGTATAGAAAGGAGGTGGTGAGGATCAGACGCGGCGCTGCTGGCGTGGGTCTCAGGCGTTTGGGGCCGCTAAAATGATTGGACCACTGGAGGAGCCGCCCAAGGGGGTCGGAGGAGAGGTTTTGGCACTGCGTATAGCGCAGAGATGAGATTAGGAGATGGGACAACAGGCGGATGAGGGTGTGATGAAGTAGAGCACAACACAGGTGACCTGCGTATAGGGGAATGCTGGCTCCGGGCTGGAGAGTGTGCTTGGAACCCAGCGCCGAGGTATGCAGACAGGAACAAGCGCCCACGCTTCACTGACCCAGGCACTTGATATGGACTCCGACCAACGATCGTCGATCGGCAGCAAGGCCCACGGAGATATAGGCGCACCAGGCAACAATTCAAAAAACAAAACACTCCTCCGTAATCAGTTTAGAAAACATAAGACACTCCTCCGTCATCAGTTCAAAATAACAGAAGATTCTCCTCGGTAATGAGTTCAAGAAGAAGAAAAAAACGTAACAAGACAGAGAAACTCACTCAAGTCGACACAGTGGATAACATCAATATGCCAGAGTAGGACGATTTTAGTAGACATCAGGATCCAGGACGTGAAACACGCGAAGTCGCCGGCAGAAGACAGAGATCATCTGGCGACGAAGACACACCAGCGCTGTGTTTGAGTATGGTTCAGCTAATTGAGCGCAGGTGTGCCTCGTCGCCAGGAGCGTGCTCCTACGTGAGCAGGGGTGGAGTCGCTGATAGCCCCGGTATCAGCTGCCGAGGTGCCGGGGACGGCCTAATCTGTGGACGTAACAGTACCCCCCATCCCCCTTACAGGAGCCACCGGGCGACCCACCGGGACTGCCAGGGTGCGAGGC